TCTGTCTGTTACCTTTTCACGTCTAAACCACTGAACAGGTTTTAATAAAATTTGGCACAGAGATAGCTTACATGTTGGAGATGGATTTTACTGTGAGAAAATATCTTACTCCCACGACAAAATTTGATATAATGCGGGCGAAGCTGTGGGTAGACAGCTAGTGATAAATAGAATAAGTTTTTTTTACATTTATTACCTTTAAAATACAATTCTAATAATATTGAAAATAACATAAGGTTATTTAATTTTAATGTGACAAATGTGCACGATTTTCTTTGCACAACTTTGTAAAATCTGGTTGCTTTTTGGTCAGCTTCAGTCTCAAGTCATCTTCAAGTTAAAGTGTTTGTCATGGCCGAAAATCCACTCTCGCAGATGTATGTTGTGCAAAATGGTAGTAAATATTTTATTGCCGCTTCGCTGACATGATAATTGTACAATTAACACAAATTGTTTTAATTGTGCAATTTTTGTTTCTTGTGTAAGAATTTAATTTAGGTATTGTCACAAATGCGTTTTTTGATGAAATTTAGAATATATTTTTAATTATAAATAAATGAATTTGTGCATTCAATATCATGTTGTAAATTGCCAAATTTTTGATGGTCCACCCATTATTTCTTTGATTGCTTCATCTCATGCATTTAAATTTTAAATCGACCAATTTTAGATTGCCGCGCATACCCCTTCACCCAAAACATAATCCCTTCACGCAATTGGATAATAAGCTCTGTTTGGATAATGAGTGTTGGTAAACTCTTTAACCTCTCCCCATTTGACAGGGAAGTTTTTGTCAACTTTCACTCCTTCTGATGACGTCTTGCTTTGTTTCAATTGAAATCACCTTTCTGTTATTTTAGAAGCCATGATTTGCACAACACTTAAATAAATGTAAATACCCTGCACTAAGGTGATGTACGTTAATAAACAAGGGATCAAGCCGAATCCTAACGGGAGCTCTATACTTCAGATATACTAATAATATATTCTAATAATACTAATATATTATAAAAATAGAAGATTGTCATTGGCAACGGCAAAAGAGTGGAAACATCATTCGCACTTGTTCGCAGAAAGACTGTTGTTTGCCTCACGTAACTGTTGAATGGAAAGTCCGTTGTTCACAGCAGTCTGTTGCTCGAGTCACATAACAGCCAAACAGAAAGTCCATTGTTTGCAGCGTCCGTTATTCAAGGCGTATGTTATATGAGGCACCACTGTATATAAAAAATTATATACTTTTCTTAGTATGTTTGTTTATATGTAATGACTTACATATAAACAAACATAGTAAGAAAGTACTGTATATAATTTTTTATTTATTTTAGACTGTTAGTACTATAAACTATTGAAATTATATACATTAGTGTACATAAATAATATAATTTATTATATCGTCATTCACTTAGTACCGAGTTTTGATTTCTTTTAGCTTTTCAATATATCCTATTACGAACTAGGATAGCTTTTCAGTTTATTCTTTTTTCATCCTTAACTCTAAAATATCTTTTCTAGCAATTAATTCTCAAATTTCTTTGGTCTAACTCTACTTCTTTTAAACTCTATGTTTTCAATTTTCTATACTTTAATAATATTATTAATTCCATCTCCCCTCTCCTCCACAACATGATCTCACCATCAAAGATTATTTTCTCTCAGTTTATTATCCAGCATGTAGTTTACTTAATTTTGTATTGATAAAACTTTAATTTAAACAATTTTTTTTTTGTAGTCTAAAACAGTATTTCTTAACATAATTATTCAGCATTTTAAATCAGAGTAAAAATTCTTTAAATTATTAAAAATGCACAAAAGTTTAAATTATGTATTATGTTTAGAATGTAATGTATAGGAGGGTATAAACTTTTGACCTACAGATGAAGCTCATAATTCAAAATTATCTAATGTTTATTTTAGAATAACAGTATTTATAATATAAAGAAGTAAATTTTGAAAGTTTGAAATGAAATTACTGAAATTTTAACATAGCTTTAGAGAAAAGGGCATTGTTATTTATTTATTTTATAAACAAATATATGAGTGTTTTAGATGTTTACAAAAAAGTCACAAAAAAAAAAGGAAGAAAGTTCACAGAAATGAAAGCAAAATAACAAACAACAAACGGAAACGCAGAGCATAGAGTTACAAAGTTAATAAAATGTTAATATGTCTGTCGTATATATTCCATTTATTGTTTTTTTTTTATAGTTTATGAAGTTATTTATTTCTTCGATATCTTCTTTGACGTTGTTCCAATGTTTAATTGCTTGAAAGATCGATGATTCGATTCCAATTGAATGCTTACAAATCGGTAGTAAAAATTGGTAAATATTTAATTAATATAAGTTTATTAATTAGAAATTAATGATAATCATCACTAAACATCATCTGTAATGCATCTATACAGTATTTTTTGTTAGATATAAGTCTTTATAATTATGATCATTTTCTAGTGTTATAAATGGTGAATCCTGTATAGACTATACAGGTTAAAGGAATTAGGATTTTAGCTTTTTTTCTATAAATTAATCTTACTTTGTTATATATATATATATATATATAATAGAATAGATGTTGGAAATTTTTTATAAATATAACAAAAATAATATATTTGATCTTAAAAACTTTATTTAATAAAATAATAATTTCCATGTTACGTAAACCAATATGACGTAGATTAAGTCTAGACTTATATTTATAATTAAGTCTTTATTCATTTGTTATTTTCATCTTTCAATCAACAGAATCTGACATATCATAAATTATAAAAGATAAACTTGATATGCGACATTCACAAATTATGAGCGTTTTAGACAAGTAAGTTTTATTTATTTTCATTGCTTAACAACACTTATAAATTAATAAAATTCTAAATTAAACTATAATATAATTTCATTAATATATTTTTAAAAATTTGGTTTAAAATACATTTATAAATTGTTAAAATATTTATTTATAATGATTTTGGATTTATAATGATATAAAATAAAAACAAAAACACAGAATATATTAAAATTTTAATTAATTTTATAATTAATTACTATTACTGAATAATTTAAATAAGTTTTCGAAACAATTTTCTTCGAATTCAATTGAATTAAAAGATTTTTATATGCACATAAATTTTTATTGGAAGGAAAGTCACGAGTATAGTTTTATAGCTATATACAAAATGATAATATTTTTTAATATAATATGAAATATATTCCTTCTGAATATATCTATAAAGAAAGTAGATATTTATTCACCATATGTAGCTATTTTAAATATATTATTTATTTCATAACCTATCTACTATTCACACTTAAAAAGTTATAATATGTAAGCATATCAATCTGATAGTAAAGGAGTAATATTTAAATTCAAAAAATTGCTTTTAAAAAATTGTTATTTAACACGTGTATAGTTTTATTATTAATAAAATCGTTGTTTATGTTTTATTATATTTTTAGACACTTGATACTTATAACTTTCTTTAGTGTAATATATTAAGAGAAAAGAATACAAACTTCAACTTGATAATATGGTTTAACTGATAAGAAAACTAAATTCTAAAGCATTATTTTCTTTTGATATTTAAATTCTATGATAGAACTTAGCAATTATTGTTTATGTTCATTTTTCTTGGATAAATAAATTTTCCACGTCACGTATTTTATCTACTTCCACATATGCATAATTTAAAGAATCGGATTCAGATATCGTGAATTCTTCACATTAGTTGTTGCCAGAGTAACATAATCGAATTTTAATATATGATAACGGAAAAATAACTTTTGTTAAGAACATGCTTTATATGTTATTAGCATACTATATATTATATTAGCTATATATATATTAATAATATAATAGATACTGTTAATATATATTAACTATATATCTTATTAGTATTATCACATATAACAAAAAGTTATTTATATATTCGTTTATAATTTTACTATTTTTTAAATAATATATATATATACACACACCCATTCTTAATGATACTGATGAAAGCAAGACTTTCTCAAATTTTTAAGCTTAATTTTTACATTTAAAGCATTTAAAATATGAATTTATTAAAAATTAAATAATTATCTATTATATGTAATATTAATTTATTTTTATAAACATTTTAATATATATACATATTTAATTGTGTAATTCTAATAATGAAATATTTATTAATTCGTGAAAATATCCTTTATATTATTCATTGTTTGTTTATTGGTAATGGAGTATTTAATATGGAAAAATTGCTAGAAAAAAGATAGCAAGTTTATTGTATGAATAATTCAAGAATCGTTTACTCTATAATATTAATCATATCTTTTATTAAACAATGATAATAAACAAACTCTGTACGGTCATTTTACGGTTCTTATATGATATATATTTATTATAATACATGTTAAATAAAATGTACCTCATTAGTTACCATCGTATTATAATCTAAAATTTGTATAATAGTGTTTAAAATGACTAAATTCGATAATTAGTTCAAGTTGGACAGATAGTTCTAGTTAGATCTAATTACAAAATACTATTTAGGGACTCATTAATGCTAGAGTTTGACTAATATAAGTAAAAGTTATCTAATTTATATGAAAAAAACTAGCATTTATAATAAAGACCAAAATAATTTTATAATTTAAAAATTTAATTTTTTGTGCTAGCCATAGTTATGCTAGTTTATCATGTTTACATTTAAAATTTTTAATAATGTAAATCATATGGATCATTAATAATTTAACAATTAATTAGCATAAAATGAATTTTATTAATAATTAATATTAATACTTACCATAAAATATATTTTATATATTTAAAATTTATTAAATTTATTTAAAAATATATTACTTTCATATATTTTTCGTGTATAAATCAACGTATATTATAATAAGTACGTTTTTAATTAAAACACATTCGATTTAACGCACTTTCGGAAATGGCGGACATTCCCTTCCCCTAATTTAATCAGTTAAATCGAGGGTCTACTATATTTACAGGATAATAATAAAGGTATAAATCACGTGGTTTAAAAATGTAGTAAGGATTTAAAGCTTAAACTTTAAAACAAATAAAAATAAATAAATAAATGGATTAAAAATGGTAATGCTACTCCATAAATTTTCTAACCGACAGTAGTAGATCCTAGATTTAGTTCTTTGTTGTATAATTTAAACTCTATATATGGTCTTATGTTTAAATAAATAAATAAATTTACAGCTAAAATTCCCTCAATAAATTACGACTTTAAAATTTATTACGTGACTTAGTTCTTAATTTTACGAAAGTATTCTAAAGTTACACAAAAAAAAGGAATAATGTCTACAATATTATAGATAATTTAGAATACATAAATTCGACTTTTAAACCGGATAATGTTCATATTTTTAATGTAAAAAAGCAGCGATAGAATGAGCAGAGTGCGTATTGAGGTAGCGTGTCGTATGTTGCTAGTGTAACAAAGATAGAGGTTTCATCATTCTGGACGTGGATGAACATCTGCACTACCTATTTTATTGTTATGACATTCATGAATGAAAACCGATACAGTCATGTTTCATCGGTTACTGGGATCAGTACGTAGACAGATGCAAGTAATGGATGAACACACTCCAATATGTTTTATTGTCTGATCGACTGGATCTATTAGGTATATAAAACGAAGATAGAAATTTTTTCTTATGGGATATAAAAACCGAATCGTCATAAAATATTCCAGAAAAATTCGATCACTCGATTACACAAACATGATTTATTTCGGTTTGTTTGGGTGAATATGTACTTTTATAATGTCGCCGATACACTTTTACAACTGAATTTAGTAGGTTCAAGGATTTCTGTTAAGGACGTTACCTTTAAATTACTAGAAATTATTTTTCCTGACAGATATATTGTTCGATTTGTGATAAAACTTCTATTTTTATCCTCGTTTGAGTAATATATGTATTTTTTATTTTTTTTTTCAAACTGCAAGACGGAATTAAGGAAAAATATATCTATTTTTATTAATCTTCAGAGAATCGACCAACCCATAACTTTTTTTCTTTCAAATTTGTTTTTGAACTTTTATCCGTTTTTTACGTTGTAATAATGTGTTGTAGGGAGATAAATGTATTTTCGTCCAATGCTTTTGCAGTAAATCGAAGGCTTTAAACGAAGCCTTTCCCTGCTTATATCAAAGTCATTATGGATTTTGGTACATATTATAGTGAAAAATAACTAAACGGCTTTATTTGAGTAGAGGAAAACTTATCGATTTTACACGGGATCTTTTATATACCAAGATTCTTAAAAGTACAATGTAATGGTAATACAAAGTTTGCGTAAAGTTTACATACAACACTGATATTCAACAAAGACATTTACAGCGCGAGAGAGAAAAGGAGAAAACAAATGGAAAATTTCAAAGATTATCCAATGTGGAAACGACACTCATTTGAATGTCGACAGACCAAGCTAGCGATTCAAAGTTTCCATTCTTTCAGTACTATTAAATGTCGTTTAAATCGTCGGACGAGCTCAAGTTCCAATTAGAATATGAAGACTTTTAGGCCATTCTTCAAAACCAAAGAATCTGAAATTTAAATCTACTCGCCTAAGTGACTTTAAAAGACGTCCTTATATTTCCGTTTCTTTCAGTTCTAGTGCCATGCAAATTCGATGTTCTGTCTTATCTGTTCTCAGATGTCAGACAGATAAAAGAACAATAATGCTAACACTTAAAAATCGAAAATATCATTGTNTATATATATATTATTTCTTTTCTTATATCTTAAAAACTATTAGCAATAAGATGTATCATTAAATGGAAAAATAATAACAAATTAAGGACGTCGGTGCAGAGATGTATGAAATGGAAACCCTACTAGTGCTTTTCGTGAGTTTATTGATGACTTCATACGAGGGCTTCTTGACATCTAGTCAGAGTGTTTTCACTAAAAAAGTTACTTAATTTTCATCATTTCAACAATTTTATTCAAATAATATCTTAAATTTCGGTTTTACTAACTAAAAATTGATACAAAATATTGAAAAATTATATCAAACATTTATTTTCCCCCCTTTCGAGATTTTAGCAATAGATTAATAATGCTGGATTTGTACCAAAATCTTGTAGATTGTATAATATATTTTTTTTCTTTAAAGAAACAAACTGCCTGACATCCCTATCCAAATTTCCGCTTAGTTCCTTCCATTAATCATAGTATAATTTTGAACTTAATTAATTTAAGGACATTTGATATTTACAGTGTATTAAACACGACAGCCCTCTCATGATGGGTTGGAGAGAGCCTTAGATCTTATCTGTCTGACACACAGACAGATAAGTCAGTTATTAAAACATTACTTTTTTCCCTCCATTAAAACATAGTTTCCTAGCCTTTAGGGTGTTTTAAGAATTGCCGCAGATAGATAAATCGATAGTAAGGCCTTCACCTCGACCAAAATCTCAGATACTTTTATAACGGACAATATAATGCAACCCCCTAAAAGAAATGACCATCCAAAGGCCTAGAGCATAGAACAATAAGGCAGACAAACTGAAATGATACGATCTTTTGTGTTCGTGTTCAATTTTGACCATCCTTTTGGTTTTCAAGAACGACTGATGATACTTAGACATTTATTATAATTAATAATAACTCACTGGAAGTAGGAAGAGCGCAGAATAATAATTAATTGAATAACATAAAACTTGGAACCGATACAAGAATGGAAAAGAAAGAAAAAAAGAATATAAAAACAACCATTTTTCTTCCATTTTTCGAGAAATTCCGGATTGAAAAGGGATGGATAACGACCTAAGAAGATGACTAAATGAGACATAAAAATAGGAGGGGCCAAATGAAAACATTGTCCCTTCTTCCTCACATTTTACTACAAAATAACTATGTATATATATCGTTAGTTTTGTTTCTTTCAAAGAAAATAGTAATAAAACTACGAAAATTCAAAACATATATAAAANGTTGTCAACCAATCTCGTCGAGTGTCTAGAGCAGATTGGCCGAGCCTTTGACCAATGGAGATCTTCTTCACAGTTCTATAAGAGTGGTGTATGGGAAGAACCGAATTTAGAATTTACAGTTTGAACTTTCGATCAACAACTATGCTCTAATTTTTGAATTTTTTTCCCTCTTGCTCATTCGTTGTAGGAGAAATGAGCTGGTTTCGAAGGATTAGATCCGAGACGGTAGAAGACAACTACATAGATCTATTGGTGCCACTTTGGAAGAAAAGATGAATGTCGAAGTCCAGTAATCGAAGGTGATGGAAAAGTTGGAAGGTGACAGCATTCAAATCAGAACAAAGTAATATCATTGTTTGGTGGAACATCCTTCAGAGATGATTCATAAATTGGCTTATTTATATGTTTTCAGTATTTTTGTTTATGGTAAGTTTGACTAAATTTTTAAATATAGACATTCTTCCTTACAGATAATGTTCGTTTTTAATTAAGATAAAAGTTTTAATGACTTCTTATGGATATAAAACGATTTCTCTGGGATTTTTAACATTAATTTTTTATGGAAACTATAAGTTTTTTTAAACTAGCTAAAAATATATATTTTATTTTCTGCTTCGTAGAGTCCAAACTTTTTCTTTTAAGGATTTACTAAAATTTTAAACGTTTTTGCTTGCTTTGTAAATTAAATTTTTTATTGTCAATAAATTTATACATCATTTAAAAGACGTTTTATCTTATTTAAAAATAGCTCCAAAATTTAATTCAATCCTAATTATAAACATTTCTTACTTAAGTCTAATTTATTTAGTTTTATTTTAATTTTTTCAAGTACGATTTTTGTTCACCTGCATCTTTTATCCGATTATTTTTCTACATTAATTTTTTGCTATGGCAACCTCTTTGTAAATATTTTAAAGGTAAAAAATTATTTTTTAATACTAAAAATATCATAAACATATCTAATTTAGCCAATTCTCACGAAATAATTTTCAAATAAGTGAAGATAATTATCACATATTTTCAGAGAAATTAATAACATTTATAGACGTTTCTTTTTTATATAAGCTGTAGCTATATATAAACTGCAACATGTCTGACCTCTTTAGGATTCGATGGACCTATAGAAAAACGTATGGGACCCGTCTTCATCTCCGAACCACCAAGTTCTGTTGATTTCCTAAATACGACAGGTGTTGCTGTAGACTGTTTAGCATTCGGTAGTCCTTCGCCTCGTATATCATGGCGTTTAAGGGACGGCAGCCTCGCAGAGAATGTGCCAGGACTTAGACAAACTCTACCGAATGGTACATTAATCCTATGGTCCTTTCGACCCGAACAATATCGCCAAGATGTACACGCGGACGTCTACAGGTGTCTGGCCAGCAACGTGGTTGGAACTATACTCAGCAGAGACATCCACGTTAGGGGAGGTGAGTGGTGACGTCACCTGATCAATATCTCTTTTGCCGCCACTTAATTTACCGATTTTGTGGATTGCAGTTGTCAAACAGTACTACGAAGTACAAGTCTATGATGAATATGTCATCCGAGGTAACACAGCTGTATTGACCTGCCACATTCCTAGTTTCGTAAAAGATTACGTCACAGTGACGTCGTGGATACGGGACGACATTGTTACCATAACCTCAAATGTACAGGAAGGTGAGTGTACTAATAAGTACTAGCATTTAAAATCGATAATATTTGTAAAAAGTGGCTGTTTTTCAGCCATTGATAAATTCTTCATCGAAGTTAGCTTAGGAATGTAAAATTACCGAATACTGTATATGTATTATTTCTTAGGAGGTAGATACAGTGTCTTCTCTTCTGGTGAACTACATATCCGCAACGTAACACCCAGTGATGGGTCTATGAGCTATCGTTGTCAAACCACCCATCGTTTGACTAATGAAATCATTGTCAGTGCCACAGCCGGAAGGTTAATAGTTACAGGTAAATATTGGCTTGCTTTTACCGATTATTGCTTATCAACCCAATATTCTTCTATTGGAGTATAGAAATTCTCGTAAATCCAACCACATTCTGATTTCTTGTATAAAATTTATCTGTAACCCTTGTTCTTTCCACGAATTAATCCGCTTTCTTGTGACCTTTTCGATGGAAGATAGGTCAAAGTGTATCTGCTCTGACGTCATCACCGGGCTTATATTTGAATGGAATCCATCATATCCATCATCTTAGTTTACACAATGACTGTTTCTAAACCCCAATTCTATTTGATCATCTCAATGAGATTGTTTTTAGGTCATCGTCCGTTTGGCAAATTAGGTTGGTGCACAGTCAACACAACTGAACACTGTGACATTTGCACGGAAAATGGAAATGTCCAAGTTCATTCGTTGTGGCAGTTGCAATTTTTGAATTCATAAAAATTATTATAAGCTTTTAAAATATGTTTTTATATTCATTCATTGGATATATTATAATAAATAAGTATAAAATATAACAATGCAGTACGTATAAGTTTTACATATAACGAGTATAGTTTAATTCGAGTATAACTTAAATCATATGAATTTTTAGAAAGTTTATTATTTCAGCTTAGCATTATATTAAAATAAAAATCAATAATCTTAATTTTAATATATGCTTTATATTAAAATTTATGTTAATTAGTCAAACTTATAAAAATAAATGATTTTCTATTAATCTTATATTATTAATGATTATAAGATATAAACTTAAAGTAAACAAATTAATTTAAAAAATTGTAAAACATAAGTTTAAATGTATAAAAGATTTCTTTGCAAACTTATATTAAAACAAAATATAAGGAAGAATTTACTTGTAACTTATAAAAGGAAAATATAAAAATCGTGTTTAATAATCTGTTTTGTTAGTTTATATGATATATTATTATAAAAATATAAAAGGCTTATATAAAGAAAAATTTCATATTATAAAAGAATATTAATATAAAACTGTTTACACTAACAAAAATAAATTTCTTTTTCTTAAATTCTATTTTTCCATACTTATTATTTGTTAAAGTCAATAAAATTAAAAGAATACTTTTTTTATTTTACATTTGATTTTATTTTAATTTTAAAAGTTTTTGCCGTTAAGAAAAAACTGTTTATAAAATCGATTGTTTATGCATAATAGAAATTTTTATTGATTTATATATATATATCAGTTAACAAGTACTGTACATCGTTACGAATAGGTTATCACCAATCTTTTCAATTATTATTGCGTGTTATGTGGTACTAGTTTGTGTCACTATGTATATAGCGTCACAATGTCTCCCCCTTACAAAGTCAGAACAACATTTTCTAACTCTACGCACGCACTGCTAACGCAAGCGCAGATGCCAATGTTTCCCACGAGCTCTCTTCTCCACTTCTCTCTGTAATGTCTGTAACGTCTACAGTACACACTGTTTGCCAGTAAGAAAGAAAGAAAAGGAAACACATCTTCTTAATCTCATTAAACCAACCACAAAATATCATTTCTTAAAATAATTAATTAATTATAATAAAGAAATTTTAATTTTAAACACTAGAAATTGAATGTTATGGGAACTTCCCCCCTGTAAAGCAGTCTTTGCTGAATAGAATTAAGTAGCGCAGTGAAGACGAAAAATCAGTGCTTTCTTTTTTTTAAAGCTGTATTTTTGAATAAACATGCGATGATTGATTAGATTTATAATTTTATTTTCGTGTAAATAAAAGTTATAAATTTTATTAACGTTTATATATATTTATGTATGTAATATAGATATATTTTTTTTTATTTTAAACGAATAAATAGGACCCTCAGATCGTGTACTATGACCTAGTATTTGTAGTAACGTATAGTACAACCAAAGTTTGGCGTCTTGCCAGAAAGATTTTCAATGTGAGGGCAATGAACCGACAACCCCCCTTTCCAAATCATCGAAATAGATCCTTTGTCATTCATTTGTCGGTTTTGTATTTACAATTCATCATCGTGTGTTTGGGGAAAAAGCATTCTTCGCTAATCGTGATGGGGGTTTGTAAAATGGAAAAAGTTACCAGAGTAGACGGATTTAACACTGTTATCCGTGTATTATTTTTAAAAACTGAAAAATATATCAATCATCTGTGCATAAATGAGAGGAAAACGTATTTCTTTGATTCGACCCTATTCTGCTACTGTGCGATGCAGCATAGCTTAAATCGCACACCTCGTGCATCGATTGAGGTAAATGTCACGCCGATTAACCTCTATGTGGCAGGTATGAGACAAGATGGCATTTACGCACCTCCTGCAAGAAAGGGCAACCCAGAAAGCTTGACAATTTTCTACTGCAACGTTTCAGGAGGCATATCATATAAACTCCTAGCATTCACCTCTCTATCTCTCTGTCTCTGCTGCATGAAAGATAGCTCAGTACGCATGCTCCGTATCGGAACTGGTCCATGCCCTGCTGGGTGTGCGAAGTGACGCAGAGGTGGCTGGGCATCCGAGTCCACCGCTGTCACCATCCAGGCAGCAGGAGTGGTTGATATACCGTAGAAGGTGAGTCACCGTTGGGTCCTTTAGGTACCCTCCTGGTCTTTTAGAGAGCGTTAGGGTGAATCGAACTAAAGGGGAGTCGTTTGACCAGGGTGTTGTCGGTGGCAGTAAGGGTCCTGATTGCAACATGGCGACTGCCTTTGCTCTAGTCTGTGTCACTATTTATTGCATCGGTAGGGGATGTGTAAGTGGTTATTAAACAAAGTACACTTCGTATCTGTTTCGTAAATTAATACCCTTTAATTATTTACACGGTAAACGATATTCGCCTTGTCTAACCCGAGTCAGTGAGGCCAAGATCGTCCGGATAATTCATTAGCTTTTATAGTTTGTAGTAAATTCGACACATTGATGTTGGAAAGCGGAATTGAAAGAGAGTATCGGATGAAGAATGGCGATCGAAACGCGGGAAACGAGTCAACTACTTACAACAGCCGCCCTTCTAACGTAAATGCATTTTAAGAACGAATTGAAGCGTATCGAGTTTTAGAAAAGGTTAGAAACGATTATAAAATGAGATTTCTTAAAGTTTTATATCTAAATCTGTCCATCGTATCTTGTGGTGTGGCCAATAATGAATGCTGGCAGGATGCCAAAAGGGAGAAGGGCTGAATGTTCTCATAGCGTACAGTTTTGCATTCACTATCGATGTACATAAATAGAATATGTTGCGATTATTATACACTAAATAATACCCTATTTTGATATAAAATTGCTCTCCTATACGTTTAAATGACTGTGGGCGAGGGAGAATAACGATTTAAAAATCGTACGAGGCAAATACAGCTACGAAAAATTATCGCATCCCCCGCTTTACGACCCGAATTTAATCGCAGTAATAATTAATTTCTCATAGTATTATCGTTTGTCTAAATGATTAAAAAGTCGGCCATTGATTAAAAGTATTTAGAAGTATAACATTATTGATCAATTGTTAATTGGTCAAGAGCTATTAAAATTTCGGTCCCGGTTATCCGGAATAGGATCGATTTAAAATCGCGATCAATCAGTCCAATGGACGTTGACCGTAGTTTTGGCGGGAATTAGCCACCCAATAAGAATCGATAGTTGCGGATAATAACGTATTCTTTTCAATGGAGAGACGTTGAACGTAATGTGTTTAACGTCTACAAACCGAATCACGTCGTTCGTTAATCAACTTAAGCGAAAATTTGCGCTAAATATGTGTAGATTACGTAATGTGAATCACACGAACGCTTAATGCATGCCTTTATTAGCTTAAACTCTAAACGCTCCTCTTATGTTAGTTTTCAACAATAAGTTTCTATGTTTAAAACTAATGACGTCAGTTCGGATCATTAGTTTTGAGATTAACTACACTGATTGGTTACTGATTAGCCAATCGTACGGGAAGGGAGACGTTTAAAATTTAAATTCTTTTCGACTATAATTTTTTCTTCTCTTTAACAGTTTTCTTGTTACTGTTATATTTTTAATATAAATAAAACGAAACCTTCACGGATGTATGCACAATATGTATATATGATTTTATCGGAAATCTTTTACTTTCAAATATCAAGTATTCTTCCACCATTCATATTGCTCCAGTGACATTTAATAAATCAATAACGTTCCTCCTCGCAATAAAACAATATAATTTCGGTATAATTATAAAATTGTACTTTAAAAAGCATAAAATCATTCCGTTTATAAGTGTTTTTTTAACAATAAATTTAAAATCTAATCGTTGCCTTATTGGACGATTTTCAAACACTTCCGCGTGACGTGACTTAATTTTGAAACCTCTTGCTCTGATTGGTGATTAATGAGCTATGCATTTTTTTCTTTTTTCAATTTAAATCGTTGTCTGATTGGTTATTTCCGAAAAAGTCACAAGGACGTAGAAAAATTTACAAGTGTTTCGCTCTGATTGGCCGTTAATTAGCAAATAAATGTCTCTTCCATTATTTTTGAATATGGAAATTTGAATTAAAAAAAAAAAGGAAATTCAAAATGGAGTGGATTCGGTCATTAGCGTGCCAATAAACAGAAATTAGATATAAGACAATTTAAAACCATTTAATTTTAAAGAAAATTTTTGCTTTATAATAAAGAACGAAATATAATTCATGATAAAAAGAGTGCTTTTTTTATCTAATTAATTATATAGAATTCAAACAACATGGAGCGCAATCTACATCAATAATTCAATTTCCATTGGTTAAATTATGTGACGTCAGCTATTCAAATTAGAGTAAAAGTGAATTAACGAGTAACCAACTTTGGTCTGTTTAAAGCGCAAGATTTAATAGTGAGCGTTTTTTTAACTTGTAAAATATATTTATATATCAGTAATAAGAAAAAAATTTAATATGATTAACTATGGAGGAGTTATGCAAAGAGGACGGTGTTTTTCTTTCGTTAATTCTTTTAAATATCGTTGTTTTCTCTGCAGAAATTCAGTTTTTCTTGACAGTGTTGGCAAGTTGCCATAGTTGAACAATATAGTTGGCACACCGCCAAAGACACAACAACCTCCTCAGCAAAGCACAAACTACAACTCTTCCAACCAAATGCTTCTCAGCGTTGCTTCTTTCTCTTTTTCTTTCATCTTAAAGCTAATTCTGGTGCTGAATCTTGACAGATGTGATTGCCTTTCTGAAGAGATGGACTCTACCCTCCTCCTTCTCCCTCTCTCTCTCATCTTCTTTGCCATTCAGATTTTTACCACATTCTCTCATATTGCCAAAAATTGAGGGGGTTCTGTTAAATTAGGAGGCGTAGATGGCTGACCCCTAGCTCTCTTTCATTTTTTTTCTCTGGTTTATAAGTGGAAGAGGGGGAACGATGACGGCGATAGGATTTCAGATAGAATGGGGATTTTATGTCACGTTGCCAAAATCGGGTTGCTGGTTTTCTTAGCTTTCCGAGAAGGAAATTATGTTGAATTAATCCATGATGACGTTTCATTTGTATGGATTGTTTCAGGATTGAGGATGTATGATCTCTTCAAAGAGAGGATCAAATGTTGAGTGGTTTTTTTTCTCTGTTGGAATGCCATTTGCGACTAGGATCTACTTGTTTAGAGAGCAGAATCAGAGCAATTGGTGGCAAATCTTATAAATACACAATAATCCCCAAGCATTTGGAATGTAAGAATGTTTTTCATAAAAATAATTCGATTTTTTTTAAATGTTAAACCAAAAATTATCGTTTTTAATAAAGAAAACTTAAGATATATGTTAGAATAGTTGGTATGAAAAATCTTGAAACGAAAATCTTCGAAAATTGGGACTTTCGAACGTCAGATTCTACTAAGTTCAAGCATTATTTTTATCAAAATTAATTCGGTACTCATTTTAAGTAAAGAAAAGGGGGGAAACAGATAGATAGACCCACCACAAGTGATAGTGCGAGTGTTAAAACGATTACTACTGTCAAAAGCGATAACTTAGCACATAAATGAGAATTTCATTGTGTCAGAAAAAAGAAATCTGTTGTCAACCAATCTCGTCGAGTGTCTAGAGCAGATTGGCCGAGCCTTTGACCAATGGAGATCTTCTTCACAGTTCTATAAGAGTGGTGTATGGGAAGAACCGAATTTAGAATTTACAGTTTGAACTTTCGATCAACAACTATGCTCTAATTTTTGAATTTTTTTCCCTCTTGCTCATTCGTTGTAGGAGAAATGAGCTGGTTTCGAAGGATTAGATCCGAGACGGTAGAAGACAACTACATAGATCTATTGGTGCCACTTTGGAAGAAAAGATGAATGTCGAAGTCCAGTAATCGAAGGTGATGGAAAAGTTGGAAGGTGACAGCATTCAAATCAGAACAAAGTAATATCATTGTTTGGTGGAACATCCTTCAGAGATGATTCATAAATTGGCTTATTTATATGTTTTCAGTATTTTTGTTTATGGTAAGTTTGACTAAATTTTTAAATATAGACATTCTTCCTTACAGATAATGTTCGTTTTTAATTAAGATAAAAGTTTTAATGACTTCTTATGGATATAAAACGATTTCTCTGGGATTTTTAACATTAATTTTTTATGGAAACTATAAGTTTTTTTAAACTAGCTAAAAATATATATTTTATTTTCTGCTTCGTAGAGTCCAAACTTTTTCTTTTAAGGATTTCTAAAATTTTAAACGTTTTTGCTTGCTTTGTAAATTAAATTTTTTATTGTCAATAAATTTATACATCATTTAAAAGACGTTTTATCTTATTTAAAAATAGCTCCAAAATTTAATTCAATCCTAATTATAAACATTTCTTACTTAAGTCTAATTTATTTAGTTTTATTTTAATTTTTTCAAGTACGATTTTTGTTCACCTGCATCTTTTATCCGATTATTTTTCTACATTAATTTTTTGCTATGGCAACCTCTTTGTAAATATTTTAAAGGTAAAAAATTATTTTTTAATACTAAAAATATCATAAACATATCTAATTTAGCCAATTCTCACGAAATAATTTTCAAATAAGTGAAGATAATTATCACATATTTTCAGAGAAATTAATAACATTTATAGACGTTTCTTTTTTATATAAGCTGTAGCTATATATAAACTGCAACATGTCTGACCTCTTTAGGATTCGATGGACCTATAGAAAAACGTATGGGACCCGTCTTCATCTCCGAACCACCAAGTTCTGTTGATTTCCTAAATACGACAGGTGTTGCTGTAGACTGTTTAGCATTCGGTAGTCCTTCGCCTCGTATATCATGGCGTTTAAGGGACGGCAGCCTCGCAGAGAATGTGCCAGGACTTAGACAAACTCTACCGAATGGTACATTAATCCTATGGTCCTTTCGACCCGAACAATATCGCCAAGATGTACACGCGGACGTCTACAGGTGTCTGGCCAGCAACGTGGTTGGAACTATACTCAGCAGAGACATCCACGTTAGGGGAGGTGAGTGGTGACGTCACCTGATCAATATCTCTTTTGCCGCCACTTAATTTACCGATTTTGTGGATTGCAGTTGTCAAACAGTACTACGAAGTACAAGTCTATGATGAATATGTCATCCGAGGTAACACAGCTGTATTGACCTGCCACATTCCTAGTTTCGTAAAAGATTACGTCACAGTGACGTCGTGGATACGGGACGACATTGTTACCATAACCTCAAATGTACAGGAAGGTGAGTGTACTAATAAGTACTAGCATTTAAAATCGATAATATTTGTAAAAAGTGGCTGTTTTTCAGCCATTGATAAATTCTTCATCGAAGTTAGCTTAGGAATGTAAAATTACCGAATACTGTATATGTATTATTTCTTAGGAGGTAGATACAGTGTCTTCTCTTCTGGTGAACTACATATCCGCAACGTAACACCCAGTGATGGGTCTATGAGCTATCGTTGTCAAACCACCCATCGTTTGACTAATGAAATCATTGTCAGTGCCACAGCCGGAAGGTTAATAGTTACAGGTAAATATTGGCTTGCTTTTACCGATTATTGCTTATCAATTTTTATCAACGCTGTCTTCGGTATTTTTGGCAGATTCTAGTGGAACAGTACCGCCTCGGATAACAGATAGTCGGAGCACTTTGCCTGCTGTACAAGGTAATACTATCGAACTCCCGTGTGCTGCTCAGGGCTTTCCCGTGCCTAGATATAGGTGAGATAACTTTTTCTGTTCTGTTCAGGTCAAATTGGTCTGAGTGAGGACAAATTATTAATCTTTAGAACTTTTTGTATCAATGATAAATAAATAAATGATATGTTTTAAATTAATCAGAGAAAGGTAAATTTGAAATTTTCTAAAATTCAAACTCAAATGACCTCAAGGAGAAAGCTAAGGCATAACTTTTATCTTAGGGTCACTTTATAACCATTTCAGAGCCAAGTCAGAATTTTTGGGAATCTGCCAAAGTAAGACACTCTCCATAGTAGCCGTTAAAAGGCATTCTCAGTAATAGTTATTATAAGTGAGGATATAAGCGTGATTTTTTTCGAGTTCTTTGAAAGAAAAATATTAAATTTTGGAAGTTCTTTGAAAGGATTCCTTTGTAATCAGATAGCAATATTTTTATCTGAGAATCCGTTTTTAACGTTTTATAGAAGGGATTTAATAAACCATGAATAGATTATTTATGTATGATTTGAAACAGAAGAGCGCTTTGAATCTCATTTAGTACCAGTTTGGCCTTTTATAAATTGCTATTTAAACTAATAATATTAAAATGGAATATTTTGTAGTTGGTACAAATATGCAGGAAGGAATAACTCTCAATTACTTTCGGTTTATCTGGATTCGCGAATGACGCAGTTGAGTGGGTCACTAATTATTCGTCAGGTAAAAGTAGAGGATGAGGGGAAATATGTTTGTCTGATCAGCAATAGTGCGGGTGAAGAAAGGACAGAAATGGTACTTGTTGTCACAGGTAAGATGATATATTTTATCACTTTTTTTCCAAATAAATAACATGTAAAATGAAAAACTAATTAGATAAATAATAAATGGTTTTCTTCAACAAAATACTTCAAACTTATTTAAATATCTTTAAAATATATTACTTATTCAATTGTTGTTCTGGTAAACTAACCATAAAAACATTACTACAGTTAAAAAATTGGCTCTTTATATAATTAGAAGCTCTTATTTGTTATAAAAAGAAAATAAAAGTAATTAATAAGTAGCTATTCAACAAATCTAAATCAAATATTTTCACTAATTATTAATTTATGTTGAATTTAAACTTTTCACAATATTTTAAACACTCAATATAAATTATAGATCTTTTATACAAATCACACACACATATATTTAATTAACCGAATAAATATTAAATTAAATTTGCCAACTTTTTATTAACTAAAAATAATTTTTCTAGCTCCGTTCATGACTCAACTGACTTTTAACGTGTTTATTTTTTCACATTTTACTAGAATATTAATTTTTTAAAAATGCTATAATTTATGTTTTTATTTAAAAATTATTCAACTTAACGTTACAAACATTAAAAAGTGGGCTACGTTTATGTGATTTTTATCGTCTAGTAAATTTTAAAAAGATTTTGCACGAAAGTTTACAATGGGAGTTTTCTATCGTGATCTGAGACATTGACAGTTTTGACAGCATAGTTACTGTTCTAATGTCATGATCACTTTTATTATTAACATCCTCACAATAAAGAAGAAAAAAGAAATTAACTTTCGACATGCTTAATATCACGAGTTCATTGTAACAAGTTGTAATTTATTGTGTACAATCCAGCTATATAAAATTGTGAGTATTGTCTATACTACGACAATTCGAAGATATGTCACTGTTTTGTCAGAGATTTTTTTCAGATATTATTGAATTCGTGATTGGCATGATCCATTATGTGATATAAAAAAAATCGAAATATTTTTTTTTTTATAGAAGATTGCTAATTCTTATAGAGAATATCGTGTACAAATAATATGGTGTTGAAATTGTCACGTGATGGTGATTGAAGAGTGCTTGGCATGATCTTGATCCAATAAAGTTTTCGTCACTGTCGAAGCCGTTACACGTGACACTTGGTCACGTGTCACTAATAAAATTGTTTCGATTTATAGAAATCTAATGAGACGTTTGTATCTAGAAAATAATGATAATTTAATATGAAATAATATATTTTGAATATTTTTGGAATTTATTCAGATATTAAATTATATAATTTTAATTTTTAATGGCAGTAATAACAGAAATTAATTTCATGATTATTTTCCCTTATCGATTATGTGGTTAATATTATCATTAATCGATAAATTTTATTATAAAGCCTGTTATATATGTCATTGTATATCATAAGCAGCGACTTAAAATTTTATTACGTTTTATGTTAGATAAAAAGAAAAATTTTTACGATGCTGTTAAGCTTATTTGTGAAAATAAAGTGATGGAGTGACAAAAACAATATTTCGTGATTCTTGAATGCAATTTATTGCATAGCTAATGAGATGAATTAAATTATATTTTAAAGTTGCAAGTTCACGTGATTGAATGAATCGATTTGTAGGAGCTATTGATTCATACAACCGCAAAACTAATTAGTTTAAAAAGTGGAATAAATATTTATTATTCAGTTATCACTCAATTTAAAATTTTAATATAAACTCTTTGTAAAAGTTTTTAATTATTTATGAATTATCAGATTACTATAGCGAATGATGTATAGTTACAAGATTTAGATAATTAAGTATTTTAAATTTTAATATGATTATCATATAATTAATCACATTATATCGTTTTTAATCTTTTTTTTTTGAAAACTTAGTTGTAGTTTAGAAAATTATTGAATGAAAGTTTTAAATCGTTGATAAAATGTCATATGAACAAAAACGATAGCACCTAGTCGATCAACTAAAATCTTTCTAAACTCCGGTCACTTGACAATTATCTAGCGCATAAAAATTTTATTACTATTATAGTACATTACATTACATTTATTGCTAGTAGTTTCAATCTAACAGACTCCTGTTAACGTTTCAGCTCATTTATCAGCACATGTACAGCCTCAGCAACAAACAATTGATGTTGGAAAAACAGCAAAATTTAATTGCTCATATTCTGGCCATCCAGTCAACAGTATCACTTGGATCAAAGACGGTAATCCTATGTTTGAAGATGGTATTCGAGTGAAGGTATTATCCAGAAATGTTCTCATTATCTCATCAGTGCGAAGAGAAGATAGTGGAATGTATCAGTGTTTTGTGTCCAATGAAGTTGAGTCTGCTCAGGGAACTGCTCAGCTATTGTTAGGAGGTTGGAGTTATTATATTAAAAAAAAACAAAAACATTATCCCTGCTTTTTTTAATCTCAGTTTTACATTTTTATCTTTATTCTTGTTTCTTCAGATGCAACCCCAGTTTTTCATTACGTATTTTCTGAAGAAACTCTGCAGCCGGGACCATTTGTATCATTAAAATGTGTTGCTTCAGGCAATCCCTTGCCCCAAATTACGTGGACCTTAGATGGATCTCTGTTACCCGAAGATCAACGTTACAGAATTGGAGATTATATCACTCTGCAAGGTCACGTTGTCAGTTATGTCAACATCACGTCGGTTCGTGTGGAAGACGGTGGTGTTTATGAATGTCATGCAAAAAATACAATGGGCACAATCAGCCATTCGTCAAGGCTCAATGTTTATGGTCTGCCTTACATCCGTCCAATGAAGGATGTGTCTGCTGTTGCCGGAGAAAGCTTGGTGCTTAGATGCCACGTTGCGGGGTATCCAATAGACACTATCACGTGGTCAAGAGGTAACTATATCGAATTAATAGTTTAGTTATAATTCGAAATATACAAAAGTATATCGTGAAAATGTACTAGTTATGAGGAATTTGTCAATAATTTAATCTTTCTACACAATATGTACTGGTATACAAATTATCAGTGTAATTTTATGAACTTAAATCATTGTTAGAATTCTATTTTTCCCTCAATCGATGTGGTTTAGAATTATTCTATTAATAAGTTTATGAAAGCCAATCAGATTTGCACCAGTTCAATTTCATCTTGAAAATACTTCGTCTTTGTTTCTTCATGTGAGTTTTTAGTGTTTTAAATAAAGTTATATTAATTAATATAGGAAAAAATAATATAATTTATATCAAACACAATAAATGTATAAAAATATAAATTACAGAATGTAAATTAAATATAAATTGTACACAAAATATTTCTCAAGATTATAAACAAGATATGATTTTAGAAAAAATCATATATTTAGATTGAATTATTTCTATAAATAACGTGGGCCAAGAACAACAGAATACTATAAGTTGTAAATATTTCAAATTGAAAAATGTTTAAAATTATTTTACGCTTTTTATTAAAATAATAAAACCACACAAAACCGTATTTTATTTTCATATAAAATGGAAGTATAGAAAGATGTTAAAGAAAATACTGCTATAAAAATAACCACAATAGTTTTCCTTCTCATCATTTACTTAACTGTATTGGGAATCGAATGAGTGATTGTTGCAAGAAGTCCCAGATATTCAAATAAATGATTTTTATATGTTGAAAGAGGAAACATAAAGCGTATGTTACCCTCGAGACCAAGCTATGGAATGGCACAAATTCAAACTAAAGATAAAAGATATGTTTCTTTTTTAGATGGAAGTCGAATGCCAATCAACCGACGACAGGAAATGTTTCCAAATGGTACGTTAGTTATTAGAGACGTCCAGAGAGGTGTGGATGATGGATCATATAAATGCAGGGCGTTGAATAGACAAGGACAAAGCGCCACTGGTACCGTGAGGGTGCATGTCATGGGTGAGTAATTTGTGCTTCTTATATAGATTCATTCGTTCTACTTGAGATACTTGACGTTAGAAAATTCTTCGTTGTCACATCTAGTAATAAATAAAATTAAACATATCCTGTGATGTTCTTAAATTGAGGATTGAAAATCTAAGACACAAATTCAATTAACATGTATTCTCATTTGGGTTTCGTTCTTCATCCGGTCGCTCCTATTGTGGGCCTGGTCTAACCCTAAATTGGTGTGGAGCAAAGGCCTTTTTAGTGTCTACAGGGCAAAAAGAGTTTAAAAAAATGGAAAATGATATATTGTTATATAATTTTTAAATTGTTTCATAAATAAAATAAATGAGAAAAATTTTAATTATGCTAATAATGATACTTGTTGCAGTCAAGCCAGTGATTGATCCATTCTCATTTCCACGCAATTTACAAGAGGGAATGCGCTCACGTCTCGTTTGTACGGTGATTCAAGGAGATCCACCTTTCGTTATCCACTGGAGAAAGGATCGGAGACCTATTGAACCGGGACTCGGTGTTGGTATCCGTAATGATGATTTTTCTAGTGATCTTACTTTTGCTAGTGTCAGTCCACGCCATAATGGGAATTATACTTGCATCGTTAGTAATGCTGCGGCTTCCGTCAGTCATACAGCTACGTTGATTGTTGATGGTGAGCTGATTTTACCTTTTGAATTATCAGTGGCAATAATTAGTTTCTTGTGGCCTTGTTCTCATTTTATTTATATTAGTTCCTCCCAGGTGGAATGTTGAACCACGCGATGAATCTGTTGTATCTGGACAGAATGTTCGAATTGACTGCCTTGCTGATGGCTTTCCAACACCTGTGATAACGTGGGAGAGAGGCTCAGGTAATACCTTCCTCATAAATTTTATAAACCGATAATCAAACCGATTCCTAAAATGTATTAACAAGCACAATTTATCAAATATATACTTTATTCACAGTTTTTCTCTTTTTTTCAGTCAGTTCTCCCCATCATTACACTGTTATAGCTAGTGGGCCACATTACGAGGTCTATGCCAATGGTTCCTTGCTGATAAAAAATGTTGAAGAAGACGACGGCGGGTATTATTTATGTCAAGCAACCAACGGTATCGCTTCCGGTTTAAGTAAAGTCGTCTTCCTTACTGTACATGGTAAGAGATATTTTAAATTGTCCTTCTACAGAAATACTAATAATTCACTAGACATGAAGCAAAATATATAACTCAATAATTACTGGCAGTTTTTTTGTAATGTATATTAACTCTTATTACTAAATAGATTGATTATATTAGATAAAGTAATAAGTACAGGTATTTATTTAATTAAACTTTTTAATGTATTGGAGGTGTATTTGATGATGATTTACGAAAGGTTTAACTTGGCACAGATTCAAGAACAAATTCAACACATTTAATTTCAAACTCTACAATCTTGTGACAGTTTGACAATGTGGTAATGTTTAACAACTAAATGGACCAAAAAACTGTGCAGAAATCCCAATTAAAGTTTTTAAATCGGTGTAAAGAGAAAGCACTCTACTAGATAATCCTTTACTCCTAATTGCTGTAAAGCTGATGACCCGAATTGCATTGTAATCATAACTTGTGAAATACATTAGGAACCACATTTGCGGTTTTCTTCACTTATTATACTTTGGCATAATTCTCTCACGACTTTAATTCGTAAGTTAAAGCTCTTCGGAAATGAATTAAGAAATTTTAAAGTGGATTTGTTTTATTTTGTTACCGTAACATACTTTTTTAATCTCTAAATTCAATCTAATTCTGCATTTTGATATTGTTAAGTAATTTAAATAATTCTTTAATTTAATTTTGCAAAATCATTAATTACAAATAAAATTATAATCCTTTTTTTCTGGGGAACATCATTCTACCCAAACTTTAAGTAAGTTTGGGCAGAAAAACACGCCATAAAATCTTTATGGTGGTGTTTTTCCAAATACAGGTATATCATTTTAAAGGGTTATTATTGACTTATAACCCACGAAAATTTATGTTTTATTCGTGTTTATAACTTATAAATTTATTCAATTATTTCTGCTATAATTACATTCCAATAATATCCATAGTGAAGAGTGTAATATTAAATATTATAAAAAATAAATTTAATTATATTTGTACTTAAAATCAATATTATTGTTTCTTAAATTCCTTTGTAAATCTCTCAGAATTTATATAATTTCGAAAATATTCTCTTGAAACATTTTCTTCTCATTATTTTCTGCATTATATTATACACCGCATTGTTTGTAGACATTAATATAATAAGCCATTAAAGGGATTAAAATACAGATAAATATATTAAACCCGTAAAGATTAACAATATATGGTAGAACATTCTGCAGCTATACACACGCACCTATGTATGTATATAAAGATAATACAAGGTATATATTTAAATCTGTATTTTATAGATTTATTTTAATGTTTATTAACTAAATGAAATAACATATACAAAATATTTTATACAGTATATACAAATTATTTGCTATATTTCTGAAACTTTTTTGAATTATTAAGCAGAATCAAGTATTCGTTATATGAGAAATACATTAATAATTACAGTTTTAATTATCTCTTTTAGCTTATTAATTTTAAAAAATATTACTTATCCTTATATAAATACGATTTTAGTTTTTTTTTTAATATATCTACACTACTACACTTTTTTAAAGTTAATTATCTTTAATTCTGTATACTTTATAAGTCTATATAAACATTTTTCATAAAGGATGTGCCATTAATATGTATATTACTATATCAAATTGAATGTTTTAATTCTATTATACACACATTCGTAGTAAAAAGACCAATTTTCACAAATATCTGAAAAATACTACCATCTACATGTTAACTCAATTGTTATTCAATAGATGGCGACAAGTTATTAGGTCCCTCATATAGAATTATATTTATTTGTTTATTTTTTGCAAATTTTATGAAATTTGCATAATCAATTTTTATAATTATTGTAAATTTTCTTTACATATTTTTTGTCCTTTAAAAATTCTTCATTTGTCATTTGATATTTTCTATTTAAAATATAAATCACATGCAACAGAATTTAATATTTAATTGCTATTATTTTCATCTTTGAGATAAATAATGCAATAAGTAATACTTTAAAGAGAATTTATGAAAATCAACATAACAATATATGAGACTGTTTTGATTTTACCCATAATATAGTCTTTATTAAAATCTATTTACATAGTTAAATCATCACAATATGTTAATTTATTAATTTATTCTTAATTTAAAAAATTCCTATAACTTAAACTATCTATAAAACAACTATCTTCTGTTTGATTATTATTTAGTAATATTTACAATTTAGATAATCACTTGAAAGTGAATATATGTAAATGTATACATAATTTAAAACTCATCCACATATTACAATATATAATTAAGGTGAGAACTTGTATGGAATTTCCTAGAAAAACATTAATTTTTTATATGGGAAATGCTATTTATGATTAATATGTGAAAAATAGATAAAATGTTGCATAAAATAATTCAAAATGTTAATGCCCTACATTAAATTTAGGGAATGCAATTAAATTTTTCCTTTTTGTTTTCTCCATTTTCTGTCATTTAAATGGACTTTCTATAGCTGTAGAAATATATGAAGTGCTTTTCTTTTAAATTATTTTTTACATTTAAAATATCTATGAAATAACCAAATAATAATGAATTTTAGTTTAAAAAATTTATTTTAAAATTATCAACGATTTTCTTTACTTAAAGTCCTTGATTGAATATGGATAACCTGTCCAAATTCTTAGAATTATTAAAATGTAGTATTATTTTTGGTTGGCATGTAACAGTGCTAACAATTGAATAAAATAATATGTTAAAATTTCAAATAATTAAATAATATTAAGGCATTTTAAAAAAGTGAAATTAAAGGTAAATACTTATGTACTCGTATTACAAAATACATAGACCTTTGTTACAGTATTACTACATAAACACGTTTCAAGCCGTACTTCTTATTAAATTCTTTTTTTATGTAAATTAGATAACTCATAGTTTTATACTTAGTAATTTATTGATAATTGCAGAGATTTTATATTTCATAAATTGTTTTTTTAAACTAGAAAATTTTCTTTATTAATTATAAGAACATATTAAAATCCTGTACATATTAATGTTAAACGCCTAGTTTGAGAATATAATAATGTTAATCAGCTTACAATTCTAATTTGATTAATTTAATTTAGGATTTTATTATATTTAGAAACATATATACAAAAGAATATGTCTAATGTCAACTTGTTTCAGACGAATTTTCTGGCTACGCTATATACAGAGTGAGTCAAAAATTTCTTGCACTCTTTCTATTCCAAATGTACTGAAGATATATTAATTTAGTTAATATAGTTACGTAGGAAGTTATGTATGGAAAATCGGATAGACCTTTTTGTTGACCTTGAAAATAATTTTCAAGGTCACTTACGTTGTAACTTTTAATGAGCAGAAGTAATGTTAAAATTCTAATGTCAAAGCTAAATAACACCAATTAATTAGTCTAAAACAATTTTCTGGATTCAAATAAATACATTTAGGACTGAAAAATTAGCAATTTTAAGTTTATAAGGAGTAAAAGTGATTTCGTTTTATATCATCTTGGAAATTATTTTTAACGTCAACAAAAAGATCCTATCTGATTCTCCATTAATATATCTTCAGTACTTTTGGAATGAAAAGGATGCAAGGGATTTTGACTCATCTGTATATATACATTACCTATTATTGAGTAAAAATTAATGTTTTTTTTTTTTGGTCTCATGATTCTACTATCCAATATACTATTCAAAGTCAATTACTTCATTGATAAAAATCGTCGAACATTCTTCTAAATTGCCATTCAAATTATTATTATTGTTTAAATTTGATGAATAGTCTTGTTGAAAAAAATATATGTATATTTTAAATATTTTGAAAGCTTCTCTTTAAATTTTACCCAAATTATTCATTAAATACGTAAAAATAACTTCGAAAATCAATAATATTTTTATCACGCTTATCACCGATGCTAATGCCATTAAAAATCCTATGTTTGCAATTAATAAAATTTCTGTTTTGTGAGTATAAAATGTCATATTTTTCATTGGCTGTCTCTGTATGGTATTGTATACTGTGGTAAAAACTGTATTTCCAAAATCGTTACCTTAATTTATGATACAGAGCTCATAGAAAGTAGGATGACTCGTTTAAAGACGCTTTCCAGAAATCAATTAAGTCGTATAATATATATATATATATATATATACGCACACTAAAGGTCAATAACACTAAAGACTTGTATAAAAAAACATCGGATTTTTACATTAACACGAATGGCTAACAGAGAAATTATACAACTTTTAAAGCTAAATTTTATATAATTTATGAAGATTTTTCAACACAGAGATCAATTTCACTACTTCGAAAATATTTTAAAATAAATTGATAATTAAAATTTAAAATGATATATATGTTTCACGAGAATCGAAATCTCAGAAAATGAAAATACTATTATTATAATTATTATACTTTTATACCGAAGTAGAGTCGGAAATTATTTACTCGATCTACAATGAAAAAAGAAATGAGTTTAAAGTAATAAAATCCGTACTACAGAACATGTAATAATCATTTTATTTTATAAAATAGAGTTTTATTTTGATAATTTTAATGTTTTAAACGAAATTGAATGAGTAAAAATCTTATTCTTACCTTCTACAGTTCCGCCAAGATTCGAAACCAAGTTCAAGAGCGAAACTGTGAAGAAAAACGAGATGGTGAAGATGCAGTGCTCAGCTTCCGGCGACCATCCAATGACAATCGTGTGGAATATCGACAAACAGCCATTGAATCCAACAGAGGAACCGCGGTACGAGATGGAAAATTGAATCTACAGCAAGCTCCAGTTTCATGATCAATATAGGTGAAAAGCTACTATTAAGGAGAGAATATTCTGGACTTTAAAACGCACTTAGAAATCTTGAAATAGTGACCATCAACTGGGATTTATAGAGGGAAGATTATGTATATAAATATTCAATCACTAAAATGCATAAGAAGAAAATTCTTGAAAAGTTAGGATTTCTTTTGTGCTCTATTATCAAAATTTAAATTTCTTCCAAAATTTTCTTTCGGTGATATTCAACATACAAAAAGAATGATTTAAATATATCATTAAAATGATTTTGGTTTTCTGTTACAAAAAAGAGAAAGTCCTTGATAGATTTTTTTACCTTCTTCACTACCTTATTTAGTAGCTTGGTACTGATAATTGAATGTGAATTAATCATTATCTTCATTATACGTTTGTAAATAATTGGGTGAGTGTACGTGTATGATGGATAGAATTGAAAGATGAATATCGTGTTAAAATTTTCATTTTGTATACATGTAAACACATCTGAAGATAGTTATTTTCTAATATTAATTTTATGAAATTTTTAAAAGCATATTCATGTCTGCTTTCTATTTATTTCTAATATTCAAAATTATGTTTTTTTTTCTCTTTTTTAACTTTATAAAATTAAATTTGTTTATTGAAGTTTTTCAGTTATTGATTTAAATCTCTTTATTAATTAAAGATCAAAAATACTTTTAATCTATAATCTAATAATGTAAAATTTTTTGTAATTTTCTAATTTATAGAAGATCGGATCGTTTTGAAACATGATAATAGAAAGCATTCATTAAAAATTAAATAAAGTGGTTTTATTATATTTAAAATTAAATATGAAATTTGTAATAAAATAATAATATGAAGTTTATATTAATTAGGTATTCAATAAAAGATTATATCGATAAAAAACGCCTGTCCTCCGAAATCACAATCATGTCTGCCGAACGGAGGGATTCTGCCCTATTTACGTGCCTTGTGACAAATGCGTTTGGACGAGATGATATGAACATAAGACTCATCGTACAAGGTGAGAATATTTGATATAATTTATTCTAAACATGTGTAATATATTTTTTTAAATAATCAGACTTAGTATTTTAAAATAACTTCATTTAATTTTTAATTTCTCATCTGTTGACTATTATGGATATTGTACCAGTTGGGTTAACTTACTTGTTAGTTGTGTACTTCCTGATAAAATGGTTTACTTCCAAAACAAATTTATTTGTAAATTGTTCTTTTTTTAATGTCTTCTTAGTTCCCTTATATTAATGACTGTTAGATACTTACAGATAATTATTTTAACATTGCTATTCCAGACTTTTTGTCTTTGAAACTAGTCTGTGTGTTATTAAACCATGTTCTATGCTATCAGTCCAGATTTTCCTAGATTTCATTTTCTGCCTATAACCAAATATAATACTTTATACAATTAATTTAGGAATATTATTAGCGTAGGAATATCTAAATCACGTTCTTGTATTGAGTTACCTTATCAAAGCAAACTACCATTTGAGTTGTCTTCTTAATGTTAAAATAAACTAAAACTAAACATTGACTAAAAGTTACGCACCATGAAGGATGCGTTAGAATTGAATAAAACTTCATTAATGCAAACGTAATGACAATGGTGATAACTGATCACAGTATCATATTAGAGACAATTTCCAGTGGAATAACAGTACAATTTAAAGGAGTCTCTAGTAGATTGTAGAACCTTCTCTTGCCTGGATACTTGCCTGGATACATGAGGAGATGTATCCAGGCAAATAGGCATGCAGGTACCCTATTCTATCCTGTGACAAATTTACCCACAGATGTCGCAACTGCACTAGTAGATGGCCGAAGCTGGCGTCCAATCTGGTCCCAAAAATGAGCGATGGCCGACAAATCTGCATCTGGGCATGCCAAAGATATGTGCCAACGTGATGGAGACATTCCTAGAAAACCCAAGCTATGTGTGGACGAGCATTATCTTGCTAAAAAATAACTATTTTCAGCACTTCTATGAAAGGCAACACGAGGACACAGGATTTCCTGAACATATCATTTCGCCATCAAAGTGTCTTGCACCAGGACTAGAGATGATCCGACTAACTCCAACACAGTAGTCGTCTGTTTCCAAACATAATCAGGATTTGTCGCCAAAGACAATAGACTGCCAGCTCACAGCAGTCCATAACTCTCTGTCAAGCTACCTCTTCAAATGAAATCGATGATGCTATGATGCTGATGACAGGACACAGCTATTGCCAATATATACAAATTTGTCTCTGCCAGTCACCTGTCAATGGGAAGAGAGTGTTCTGTAACGATGCTTCCATCTGTCTTTGAATGTTGGCAAAGATGCACTGTTGCATATGCTTGTCTAATGATCAGACGATCGTCTATTGTGGTTAGTCTGGAATGTTCAGAGTCTGCCTGCCGTGTATGTATACCTCGATGTATACCGTGTATCCACTGTTTACAACACTTCCTCACAGTATGATCAGAATGGCCCAGATAGCAACAATTTGACAAAATTTCCCTCAGTTCGATGATGCAGTTTTTCTCAAACTCTGAGCATCATAATGCCTTTTCCTGGTACAAGCCTGCCTGGGGATTCGAAGATTTCCAAATAAAAGATAAACTGAAAATTCTGAACACATTACTCAACAACTCTACGGACATTACCTGGCTCGCAATCCACCACAACTGTAATTACTAACATACCTGTCCGAGATAGCTGTATTACTGCTGAGTTTTTCAATAATTAGACTAATTCTATATGAATGCCTAATTTTGTTTTTGTCAATGAATGCATTATATCTTATTATCTGTATTTGCTGTTAGAAATCATAGTAGTTCTGTTATACTTTTCAAGTTTATGAATACATGACAAGTTTTGGAATTTTAAGAATAAGACATTAATATAGTCAATAAATTTATAACAAGGTAAAAAAATCCTGTTATACTGTGGTATGTGAGAAGATCTACAAATAAAACAAGATTTTTATTACGAAAATAGTTAAATGATTCACCTTGGAACTTAAAACCAATGATAGAATTTGAAACTTTGATATTCGACTGGTTTAGAGTTGGAGAAAGAAGAAACGGAAGTCGTTATTAGTGGACATAGATAATTGATGATTGGTCGACTCTTACAAAGCGGCAACATAAGGATCGATATCAGTCATTAAAAATGGTGTATAAAAGGCACGAGGCGGATGATTCCAAAAGTTAAAGTGAAAAATATTTGAAATTAAAACACGTTTCACTAATTTTCAGAAACGCAGGGAAATTTAAATACACGTTATGTATAAAAGTAATGCCGATAACTTATTTAAGTTTTTGGAACAAAACTTATTATTTTTTTTCGTAACTTAAGAGACATATCCGGATTATGTCTTTCATAGGCCATTTTTAATAATTGACATCGATTTTGATGACATTGTCGCGCGGTAAGATTCGATCAATCGCCACATGATCTCTTATCTTCGAAAATCACGTTTCCTTCTGCTTCTTTCTCCAACTAAATCAATCGAGTATCGAAGTTTATCGAAGTTTTGAATCCCGTCGCCGAATTCGAAATAAAAGACCAAGATTACATTTTTTTTTATTAGAAAAATTTATTCAATTTTATGAGTTTTAACTACCGAATAACTAATAAAACTCATTTCATTAATATAAACTAACAATATATCTATAATGAGTTTTTATTATATTAAATTAGAAGAATAAAAAATGTAGATACTTACTGCTATTAAATATTTTTTTTTGTAAATCTTAGAAGAAAGTTATTTTTGTTTAGTAAACTAATTCAAAATAACAATAAATTTAAGGAAAAAATAATAATATTCCAGATGATAATTAAAGTGTATATTTAACTGCAAATCCCTCCAAGAAATAAAGTAAGAAAATAATTCGAACAAAAACATTGCCTGATGAAAAATAAAATTTTTTTCTATAGAATATTTTATTAAATGGATTAAAATATTTATATATACTTAAGAATATATTTAAGTCCACTTACATTAAGTATATATTTCATTTAAATTAACAGTTCAGTACAATTAAGATGAAATTAACTTTATACTTAATGTTATCAATTATCAAACCAGTCATTTAATTGATTTATGAAATATGAAATATAGAATGAAATTCATAACTGACATATATGATTAATAATAACCAGTCTAATATTTCTTGTAAAATTAGTAAGGCTAACATTCAGTAACTGCTCAATCTTTGTGTATTAAGATTAAGATAGTAATATTATGAATTCTTATTAAAAATTTTAAAAAATATTTAAGAAATAAAATATACACATACTTATAATTTACTTGCATTATTTAAAATTTTATTTTCACTTCTATTAATTAGTAATTTTATTTTTATTAAATTATCTTTAACATTCTCTGAAAGAATATTTTCAATTTGGTGAAAATGCTGTTTCTAATAACACAGCTTTTTAGTAAAAATCTTTGACGCATGATTGAAATAAGTGCAATATATACAGGGATGGATTCACAGTGGCTACAGGGTTTAAGACACTTCCTATTGATATATATATACACACACACACGCACACACACACACACATATACACACCCCTANAAAGTTTACGATTCCGAGGATCCATATCTTTATAAAACTTTAGAAGTAGGACAAGGTATTGAAGAACAAGTGGTGCTAAATCAACTTCACAAGTTTACAAGGTATAGCGTTTTAGTGCAAGCTTACAATTCAATGGGTGCAGGACCAAGATCTGACGAAATTATTGTCAGAACATTAGAAGACGGTAATAATTTCTATATTTATTAGTTTATTAAATAAATTAAAAGTTTAGATAAATTTTTTCATAAACGTACATTATGAAAATTTATTACTTTGCATAGAAAACTTATTCGATTTTAATTTTTGATTAGGATTAAATGTAAAATTTTCGTATGTAATTATAAAAAAAATGCCATACTTATATCTTATAATAATTTTATTCGGAATTTTTAAAGATATATCTATTTATTATTGAAGTTATAATACGTATTATTTTAAATAAAAAATATATTATAATATTGAAACATTGTTAGAATGTTTCTACACTATAATTCATTTAAATAAAATACTTGCAGAATAACAATTTTACTTTAATTGAAATTAATTTCTTGACATACACGAAAGATAATTAATTTTTTTTATTGACTAGTTTATAAATTTACTATACAATTTATTTTGCATATATAATGAAACCATAAAGAAGTAGTCTAATATATTTGTATAATTTTATGAAAAACTCATTCTCTTAACTGGGCAAATGTTTATTTTGAATTTAATAAATATTTATTATATTTATGAATGATTTAAATGTAAAAATATTAAACATATATTTCTTTTGTTAGTACCAAGTCAGCCACCGCACAGAGTACAATGTTTACCACTTACATCACAAAGTCTCCATATATCATGGGAAGCACCACCTATGTCATCTATCCATGGTATTCTCCAAGGATATAAAATTCTTTACAGGCCAGCCGAAACTTTAGCAGGTAAAATACTTTTGAAATTTCTAATAGTTTGAGTTGAAATTTTCATATAGACTAAATCATATTCGGTAAGCATTACAAATTTTTTTTATGCAGCATAAATTTCAAACATCCAAATGTATTATAGTTTTAATATAATGTATATACACTAATAAATCATTATTTTACATTCAGTTACGTTTATACATTACAAACTAAACTTACAAACAAATGTAAAAAGTATTTATTGGTGTAAATATGGTGTTAGACATGTAGTTTGGTCAACTAAATGCTTTTCAATAATTATAAATGTAACATAAATGACTTTGTTTAATATTTTATTTCTAGAATAAATAAAATATTATTAATACAAAACATAGATTAAATATATTATTTAGAACTGTTTTACATGTTTTTAATTTTATATCTTTATTATAGTTATTTTGAATGTTGAATAAAACATGTTAGATTAGTTACTAATAAATAACTTGATACCATAGATTTGTAAATTACGTATAATGATTTTTCTTCAGATGTAAATTTTTCCAAATAGATTTGAATTTGTAATGTAATTTAACTCAAATTATTTATACATTATTTCATATTATATATTTAATCGTTACAACTTTTATAAACAAAATAAACATCCATCTTAAATATTTTAAATGATTTAAAATGTTTAAAAATTGATTTCTGTGATATTTTATTTATCAGAGCCTCCAGAACCACCGCGAGAAATTAAAATATTAGAACAAAAAAGTCGGTCTACTAAGATTTCGTGGTCTCCCCCATTTACTGGAAACAGTGCCATTATTAAATATCATATACAATGTAAACAAGAATCAGGTAAATTCGATTCTCAATTCCATTTAATTTATTTTTATACAGATGTTATCTATTTTGTTTATCTAGTCTTTTATCAAACAGGGAATGATCGGGAGAACGTTATAAACGTAACAGCCGGAAGTGACGACACTAAAGTGGTATTGAAAGGTCTCCGACCTGCAAGAACTTATTATTGTAGAATCAGAGCTGAAAATTCTGTTGGATTAGGAGAACCGAGCGAACCTACTGCCATCACTACGTCTGAAGAAGGTTTTTAATTATATTTTTTCTTCAATTTTTTATTTAAAATCACAAAAATATTTCTCAATAATAGTCAAAAAATATTATAATTTTCAGGGTATTTATTATTAAAGGAGTAATTAAATATTCCAGTTTTAAAATGTTACATTTTTGTATAACAAAAATCAAAATAAATTTTTACAGAAGTGAATATTATAAATTTAATTATAAAATTAATTTTATTTTTTTGATTATCAATTTCACATACATAAAACTCATAATACACAAGTATGCATTTATAACAAGTATATGTTTAAATAATTTTTTAAATTAATATTATATGAAGAATAATTTATGTAAAAAAATCTATAAAAAATTTTTTTATAGTACCAGGAGGACCACCACTTGATGTAAAAGTTCAAGCAATAGATTCACAATCATTGAAAGTAACCTGGAAGGTAATTTGATAAATTTTCTTATAAAACAATTTTAAAAAGTACAGTATATTAATAATTTACAAAATAAAACATTGTTTCATAAAATCTAGAAAAAATTATTTTATTAAAAAGGTATAAATAACTTGGTTTTTACTTCTTTTTTTCCATCATAAAAGTTTTCTTCTTATTTCCAATCGATAAAATATTTTTTCACACCTAGTACTACACAATATGTAATTTCGAAGTAAGTCTGATATCCAAAAATATTTTTTGAATTTTTTTTTTATTTTGAATTTAAAAATCATAATAAAAAAAATTAGATTGAATCAGAACTTGAAGTAGCCCTTCTTAGTTTCAGATCTTTTTGTGGCTTTCAGAGAAGTATTATCAGATAATATTGTATTTTCTGCTGACTACAAATAAATTTTCAAGTACTAAGAGGATGCTTTTGATATATTTATTTTTTTATTTATTTAGCCACCCGATCACGAATTATGGAACGGTCCTATTAAGGGTTATTATGTTGGTTATAAAGTTTACGATTCCGAGGATCCATATCTTTATAAAACTTTAGAAGTAGGACAAGGTATTGAAGAACAAGTGGTGCTAAATCAACTTCACAAGTTTACAAGGTATAGCGTTTTAGTGCAAGCTTACAATTCAATGGGTGCAGGACCAAGATCTGACGAAATTATTGTCAGAACATTAGAAGACGGTAATAATTTCTATATTTATTAGTTTATTAAATAAATTAAAAGTTTAGATAAATTTTTTCATAAACGTACATTATGAAAATTTATTACTTTGCATAGAAAACTTATTCGATTTTAATTTTTGATTAGGATTAAATGTAAAATTTTCGTATGTAATTATAAAAAAAATGCCATACTTATATCTTATAATAATTTTATTCGGAATTTTTAAAGATATATCTATTTATTATTGAAGTTATAATACGTATTATTTTAAATAAAAAATATATTATAATATTGAAACATTGTTAGAATGTTTCTACACTATAATTCATTTAAATAAAATACTTGCAGAATAACAATTTTACTTTAATTGAAATTAATTTCTTGACATACACGAAAGATAATTAATTTTTTTTATTGACTAGTTTATAAATTTACTATACAATTTATTTTGCATATATAATGAAACCATAAAGAAGTAGTCTAATATATTTGTATAATTTTATGAAAAACTCATTCTCTTAACTGGGCAAATGTTTATTTTGAATTTAATAAATATTTATTATATTTATGAATGATTTAAATGTAAAAATATTAAACATATATTTCTTTTGTTAGTACCAAGTCAGCCACCGCACAGAGTACAATGTTTACCACTTACATCACAAAGTCTCCATATATCATGGGAAGCACCACCTATGTCATCTATCCATGGTATTCTCCAAGGATATAAAATTCTTTACAGGCCAGCCGAAACTTTAGCAGGTAAAATACTTTTGAAATTTCTAATAGTTTGAGTTGAAATTTTCATATAGACTAAATCATATTCGGTAAGCATTACAAATTTTTTTTATGCAGCATAAATTTCAAACATCCAAATGTATTATAGTTTTAATATAATGTATATACACTAATAAATCATTATTTTACATTCAGTTACGTTTATACATTACAAACTAAACTTACAAACAAATGTAAAAAGTATTTATTGGTGTAAATATGGTGTTAGACATGTAGTTTGGTCAACTAAATGCTTTTCAATAATTATAAATGTAACATAAATGACTTTGTTTAATATTTTATTTCTAGAATAAATAAAATATTATTAATACAAAACATAGATTAAATATATTATTTAGAACTGTTTTACATGTTTTTAATTTTATATCTTTATTATAGTTATTTTGAATGTTGAATAAAACATGTTAGATTAGTTACTAATAAATAACTTGATACCATAGATTTGTAAATTACGTATAATGATTTTTAAACATAATCGTAACTTTATTTATCTTTTAATAATTGTAATATAGTCTAAAATACAAGTTAAACATATTTATTTATTAGGTATTTTGTATTTATGTTTATTTATGGCTCAACTGATATCATCAGCTTGCAAAATATTGATATAATTTGAAATAATTAAGTTACTATGAACATTTGTTGTAGAACATTATATATATATACATACACGTGTGTATGTGTGTATGTGTGTGTGTGTGTTTAGGCACTATTCGTTTTACCAAAAGTAATATTAGGACCTATATTATTTTATTTTTTGAATGCTATTCTACTAGTCGCTATATTGTCCTATTTGTTAAATAATATTTATTAAATAAAAATCTTATCTTTAATACAGTTATTATCTTTACAATGAAGCACTACCATTATTATTTGTTATTATTTGCATATCATTATTTTAAAAAAAATAAATTGCACATATTTACATATTATGTGGAAAATGCATATTCGAATCTTTTCAATTAAATTAAAAGAGGTATTTTCGTTTTTGTACTCTATATATATATATGAAACACAATATACTACGTACAATCAATAGCTCGATAAGTCTATAAAAAGTAATTTGTGATCAGCTATAAACGAAATAATATATGGAAAGAAGCTTCACAGAGATCTATCCACAAAGAAATGTTAGTGATTGGCTGTATAATAGTTTTATAATACTGTTGTGCAGGATATAAATGATTTCATAGTTAACTATCATGTGTTCGGTTCTAATTTATGGAGTGTAACTTTCAAGTTGCACTTACAAATAAAATGTAAAATATGGAAACATTAAAAATATTTACATTTTATTTGCCTATATGGCTCTTCTATTTACTTCGTTTTATCTTTCCTATCGATGAATTTTTGCTCAATTGTGTCATCATGCTGTAAGTTTGAGATAAAATATATATAGGCTATATATTTATTTTAAATAAAGAAAAGAAATTTTTTTATTTGTGAATATCTGTATCTTTTTCAAAAAAAGAATTATGTGTACGTACAGTACATGTCATTGATTTAAGCACATGTGTTGTGTAAAACGTTATACAATAATAATAGATAAACATTTCATAAAAAATAGTCATCAATTGGAGTTATAGGTGTGATGTTTTCGTTTTATAAAATTATTTTACAATTGTTTTCATATATTTACGTATTTGTTTATTAAAACATATAAAAATAATATAATAGGAGATGAAGAGTATGAAGAAAAACGGGTAACTGAACAAGATGCCAAATTGACTTCTCTTCATAAATATACGAATTATTCCATAATGGTTGTTGCCTTTACTCAAAAGGGTTACGGCGTTCGGAGCAATCCCGTTTACTGCATGACACTGGAAGATGGTAAATGATATACAAATAATTATAGAAATGCCAGATAAAATATCAAAGTTTAAATAATAAACATTTTATTTTTTTTATTAAAGTTCCAGGCCCTCCTGCAGCTGTTAAGTCCGTGGTTCTTTCTTCCGATACAATTCTCGTAACATGGAAACATCCTTTGTTATCTAACGGCATTATTAATAAATACTCACTTTATTGGCGTTCATTAAGTGATATTAAGGTAAAATAGTGTAAAATTGAGTTAAAATAAATTATTGAAATTAAATCTTTAACATATCTTTATCTTTCCCCCAAGAATGCTACCGTAGTCCATATTCCCGCTAGTCAAAATCAATATAAAGTTACAGGCTTAAAGGAAAATTCGCGTCATGAATTCTGGTTGACTGCATCTACTGCCAGGGGTGAAGGAGAAATCAGCAAAGTTGTTTCAGGAACAACAACATCATGGTGTAAGTTCATAAATATTCATGGTAGAATAAAAGTTTTATGTTGTCAACACTCTTAAATATCTAATTTCGATATAGTACCTGCAAGAATTTTGGGTTTTGGAGAAACTGTTGTAACTACACCCGGGGAAAAGGTAGTTTTAACTTGTCAGTCGATTGGAAATCCGCCTTTGCACAGAAACTGGAAATTAAGGTAAATTATGTATTATTTCTTATGCTCTATTTAATATTTTAAAATGAAATAATAAATGATGATAATTTTTATCATTATTTATTGTTTCTTTTCTCAGAGGTGAAACCATTCCAAAACAAAGCAGAATAGAAGTGTTATCCGATGGTGCACTCATCATCCGCCAACTCCAAATTACAGACTCAGGGAATTATACTTGTTATGTAAGAAATAAACACGGGAGTGATGAAATAACGTATTCTCTTATTATACAAGGTATATTTTTTATCTTTTAAATAATTTTTGAATTATTTTAGAACAATATTGAATTGATTCAGTACTAAATAATTAATTATTAATATATAACAGTTGTAAAAAATATTCATAAATATATATTTTTTTCTTTTCATAAACACCACTGTACTTTATTTAAATGTACTTCAGAACCAGGTAACTTTTTATAAATATGAAAGTAATATTTTTTGAATAATTATTTTTATTTTACAACATTTTCTTATTTTCAATTCAAGTGACATCTCATGCGCCTCAGATTAAAATCATATCAGCATCTACGACTTCAGTTCACGTTGAACTCCTCTTTACCATGCCAGAAAATGTCATATTAAGAGGTAAATTCGAGTTTTTGTTAAATATTTATTCTAAACTGTTAAGCTAAATTATAATTATAATTGTTTTAGGATATGAAGTTCATTATAAGGCTGAAAATAAAGAATGGCAACAAAGAAGAATATCCGGAAAAAACCATACGTTTATGTTAGATGGCTTAGAATGTGGTGCAAGTTATCATTTATATGTGGTCGCTTTAACAAGTGAAGGAAAAGGTGAACGAAGTAATCCTGTTGTATTTAGAACAGAAAGTACTGGTGAGTATCAAAATAAAAAATAAGAAAATGTTAAAAAGTAATCTTACATGAATTTCATTCTACATGTAACTAGTGCCAGTTGCTCCTAAACAGGAAGATATGATTTTTACAAACTCGACACATTTAGTACTTCAACTTTTATCATGGCAAAGCGGTAGGTGCCCTATCACGAAGATGATTATTGAATATCGGCCTCAGTCCAGCACTCATTGGACATTGTTGACTAATAGAGTAGTACCTGAACAACAAAATCAAATAATAATACAGGATTTAAATCCTGAAACGTGGTATGTGATCAGAGTAACTGCTTATAATGCTGCGGGATCGACAGTAGCGGAATATGATGTTATAACATTGAAAGTGTCAGGAGGTAATACTCTTACATTTATATGATACTTTGTTTCAATGATTACGTAACATTAATTATTATTTCAGTTGTATCCGTGTCTGATGCCGGAAATCCAGATCACTTACCAGCCGCGCCACCTTTCTTCGAAGATACCACTACTTTAGTATCCATGGCTTCTTCCGGTGTTGTTCTGATAGCGGGTGTAGTAGCAGTGGTATGTTTAGTTATGTACAAGCGTAGACGAAATACCAGACATCACTATAGAGGTATGTATAGGAAGCAGTGTCGTGCATGTTCATATCGATCTCGTTCTCATTAATCTTCAATTTCAGAATCTTCATCGAGAAGTGATGTTGCTACAACTACAGCGTTGATGGCACACTTAGAGAAGAAGTCACAAAGATCGGAAACCAGTCGTCAGAGCCACAGTCATAGCAGGGATTTACCTTCATATTTCTCATCTCCTGTTCGGAAAGTCGTTCCTACAGCTAATCCTCCTTCTTCAAGACAACTGCCCCATTCCTCTTCGAGCAGTCACTGTATGTTCCAGTTTTTTCGTTTACCTTTAGAAATATCGATAACTTACAATTTTCGTGTTTTGAAAATAGATTACGAAGATGAAATAGCCCCATACGCAACGTTCCAGCTTCCAGGTCCCACACCAGAAGAAGACGAAGGTCAAACGGAAGAGTTTAAAACATTCAGCGTACACCATGGCGAACCGCCATACTTAGCCAAAGTATTATTACATTTTAAATATATATTTTTTTATTTTATTTCTTTAAAGCAACAATTATGAATAATCATAAATTATCATAGATTGATAGAATTTCGTGTATTTGCCGTAGAATAATTTTTAAAAATCATATATACATACACTCAACAATTATTTCTATTCAATATAATATTTTGCATTGATCAGATGGTGATTTGAAAAGATAGTTTTAGTGTATGACAAATTTTAAACTAATAGTAATAGTGGATAGTACTGGGCCAAAGAGAAATAGAAAATGGCCAAAGTTTTGCAAAAAAAGGAAATAAAAATTGAAATTTAATTTATTTATTGCTTAGAAACTGAAATACAACAGATTTGTCAATTTATTAAAAAGGAAAACGAGTAGTTGAAATATTAAATCTCTGCAATTTTGATTGACACGGCCGGATTTCTGCTTCTGACCGTGACAACCTAAACTTATAGAGTACAACTTATACTGTACTCTATAAGTTTAGGTTGTCACGGTCAGAAGCAGAATCCGGCCATGTCAATCAAAATTGCAGAGATTTAATATTTCAACTACTCGACTTACGCTTCAACTACTCGACTTACCTCGACTTACGCTACCCCGACTTACGCGAATCCGGAGTTACGCGATTTTCAAATCTCGTCGATTCGTCTTTTGTTTGAGCACCACGCAACTCTTGATTACTCATTCCCTCCACACTACTGTTCAACTTACATGTTCGGACGTGTCGCGCGGAATTGATACAATTTATTTTGTGTTATTAATTTCTGTGTTTGTTATATCTAAGGAGACTCGAGAGACTCTGTGTGGTGATTTCTTGTAACAATGAACGAATCAAAAAACGAGATAAGATTAACGAGAACATTTATTAGCTTACATACATCCGACTTGGATTTTACACACATTGAGAAATTATACCCCGACTTACGCGAATTCGACTTACGCGGTTATCGCTCGGTCCCACCTATCGCGTAAGTTCGGGGTATTACTGTATATAAGAAAAACAAAGTAAACATACCGAAAAACAAACTCGGAGGCATTTCAGAACACTATATAGCTGTCCGTCATTGTCCCGTAAAAGTGTTCGCGGTTGTCCCAAATCACCATGTTTGATTCTAATCAGCTTCGGAAAGAGAGACGTTACTCTATCTAAACTTTGATAGGAATCATGATGCCACATGATGGCGCTACCAACCTTTTAATTTTTACAATAACATCTTGAGATTAATCAAAGTGAAAAATATCAGTAAAAAGTGGCTCACAATTTAATTTTGGATAAATCGTTTCAAGCGCCCAAAAAAAAAAAAATGTATGAAATCCATGAGCACTCCAGTGGAATCACATTCGGATGTATTCACTTGGATAACTTCGATAAAATTCTCTTATTTATGTATTTACTTTTGAAATTTACAATTTTGTAAACATTTTACAAGCATAAGCCTATACATATATACTATTGTTTTCAAATTAATTCATCATTGTAAACCTTTTCTCTCAAAATAAGAATTTCAATGTATTATTCTCATTCTTGCAAATATTTCTGATATATGAGTGCTTTCATATAAAACTTGCATCGCTAAAATTTGCCTTTTCTTGACATAATTAACTAGTATAGTTCTAATTCTATGCACTTAGAACATTTACGAACTTTGATAATAAATTTATAAGGTAAATATATTGATTCGTTTGATAAAGATGATAAAAAATTTTTTCTTAGTTGAGATAATTGAGCAGGTCAGGCGACATAACATGAGGGCGATCTGCCGAAGGTGGTGCCTATCGGGAGGAAACTGACTTTAATTTAGGTTTTACACACGTGAAACTAGGAAATAAAACCAGAAAAATTCCACGTGACATTCCATTAGTCAGACGCGAATCCATGACGAGTCTTGGATTATCCACTTGACTACTGATGGGCAAAAACTCTTTTTTATTTGTATGATGTAAGGATAACATATTACTATATTTATCTAGAAATGTTCATATGTTATCATCATTATCTAGTATGAAATTTGTAATAATAGAGTATTACAAATTTCTTAAGATTCATATGTATAATTGATATCGAAAAGAACTCATTTTCATGTTTTTATTTCCAGACGAGTTTAGACCCCCCATCTGCGAAAAGTGGTAAAGCCAGTGAAGAATTATATCAGAGCCAAGGTAAAGTATAGCCTATATTTTAATCATACGGTACACATTTAAAGGATCTTTTTTAGAATTTATGTAAGTCATTCGTATTTTCAGCTCCCAATAGTCATAGTTTAACTTCGGGTTCATCCAATCAAGAGGAATTAATGCGAGCTTACGAATATGCCCGTCGCCATCCACCTCCTGCATTACAATACGATGGTATCCATAATAGAGGACAAAGTCATACCAGCGGTACAGGCACGACAGAATCTGAGGGTACAGATCCAGGAATTAGACAGTTTAGTGGCACTCCACCTAAGCCGAATGAAAGGCGTCAAGGGGCTTGTCTTACTCCAGGCGTATCAGGTAGGTGTTCATGTTGTAATAAAAAATTATGAGTAATTGGCGAGTAAAGACGTTTCTGACACATGGCACTCACAAAACCGAATTACTGTAAAATGCACGACAATACAAAGATAAAAAAAAATACATATTTTCTATTGCTTGCTGTGCTTCACCAGTTCTGTTAATTACGTGTCGTCTTAAAATATTTTATTTCTGAATCTATTTTAGCTATTTCTTCACCAGTCTTCTCTGATTTATTTGAAGGATCCACTAGTTTATATATCGAATTCGTACAGAGAAGGTTGGTGATAAAAGTATTCTTTTTCGCAGTAGGTGCATCAGCACAGACAGCAGGAAATGAATCCAGTACGTCGGATGAAGCCACACCTGTCAACACTCCATATCAAGCCCGACCTATGCCTTCCGCACAACCGAGGGAGAAGGGACAGCTTTCATGGGGAGGAATGAAGAACCGTAGCCAAGCCACAAGCAAGAAGACCAATTCCAAAGGTATTAAAAAGGGGTAAGTCCTTGGGGTGGTGCTTATCGATAGTAAATGAATGTATGAAAGTATTAAGTACTTCTTTTTACCATTACATAGGTTATCAAGTGATGAAAGTGACAGCGAAGGGACAATCTACACATTCAGCAGGGCAGATACAGTGGTACTGAGGGGAAGCAGTGGGAATGAGGTTTCCGAAACAGAATGTGATCGAGACAGAATAACTCACTTAAGTAGAAGTAGGTGGTTTAAATATTCGGATAAAGTTCTGGTATTCTTACGTTCTTAAACTGGTGCAGCACAGCAGCAATTATAATCAATGATTAATTTATTCTAATGAAAATTTTCTTTATAATTACGAATTTGATATATAAAATTTATTACATTATTACACATATGTATTTAGTTAATCTGTTTAGGGTACTTTGAGTTGTCATCTTGGATTATTTTTACGAACTTCAAAAATTATGTATGGTTGTGAATCAAGATAATTTCAATTGAAGAATTTATTGCTTATGGATAGAGAAATTATTATATCAGTTAGGAATGGTTGAACTATATACTCAAGTTTTTATAATTGTTAATTAATTATACTTTGCTGATAAGAAAAAAAAATGTAATGAGAGTAAATATCATTGATTGAGAAAATAATCCTGAATATAATTTACAAAATGTGTTGTATGCAACAATTATGGAAAGGGTATAAAATTTATTAAGCAGAACTAGAGAAATGGTATTTAAAGTAATCTTTTTTTCTTAATATAACAAATATTTATTTTTATATTTCAATGCCTTCATTTTATTCAGTGCTAGCTGATGAATCCAATAATGGTCGCGTTATTTTAAGAAAACATCGAACAGATTCGAAAACTACACGTCTTTTACTACTTGATTACTGTAGTTATATACAGTACATTGAATACTTGCTTCCGTAGCAATATCAATGAATTTCGCCGTTTTTATTTTGATTCTCTCTTAATAAAATGAATTTTGTTTAATTTACATATCTTTGCGTAGATTTGTTTCATCGTATTTTGCAGAAATATTCGCGAAGGCTAAGAAAGTTTTCTCAAACGAATAAAGTGATTTTTGGTAAAGCAGTCTGTAACAAAAGCAAAGTCATACTTTAATAAAGAGGAATCGAAAGTATTGATAGATGGATATTAATAAAATTTTTTGAATATTTTCAAAATATTCACGCGTTATTGGGCTATCGTAAGTGATAAATTAAATTACCGGTCAGGTACGAGGACGCCGATTACAATGGTGACGACACTACAGCCGATTTTAGTCATTGTTTAGATCACATGTTCTTAATAATTAAATTGTTTGATTTTACAATGTTCAAAATGGAAATAGCCCAAGGTGTAGTGTGTTTGATGGCAGATTGATTCTGTAAAGCAGTGACGCTACACATTCGTTTGCGAAAATAAATTGTTATGGCCATTTGAAAACTTGTTTGAAGCTTAAATTTGTGGGCTTTCGCAATTTTTCTATAAAATAAGGGTTCGTAGAATAAATAAAAAAATATATAAATTTTCCGAAAAAGAAAGAAAAGAAAAAAAAAAGACGAAATTCGACGACACCGTAAATCCAAACACAAATTTCAATATACCAGTCGAATAAATTTTATATTAAATACTCATTTCGACAAATTTTGGCAACTTTTTTCATTATAGTGATTTAATTTTTATGAGAGTTGTATTTTGAAATTGTTAAGCTTGCATATAAGAGGAATTTCCAAACCTTTAATTGAAATTATGCCAAATTTTTATCGTTACTAATTTCTTTAAATTACGTTTTAAGTTTCGATTAATAATCATATAAGCTTTTTAAATTTTTTGAAACTTTTCCAAGTCATTAAGGAAGTGACTGTTCTGTATATTTTCGGATGGTAGAATTCAATAATAAGTTTTGCATTCACCTATAGTAAATAGGATATCTTAAATCACTGTGCTATTAGATTTTCATAAAAATATTAATATATGGAATTATATGGATTGATAATTAATGATTAAATTGAATTCATTATTTTATATAACTAAACAAAGGAACTCTTTTTGTCATTTCAGGTGGATTTTCAAGAAGGCCTCCTGCGAGATCACACACAAAATCAGATGTTATCGATTGCTAGTAGGTTTTGAAAATTCCTTACCCAAAACAAGAGAAGAGCTTTATTAGCCAGTTATTGGCTACTGCCTGATGTTTCTGGGGATGCCAAATCTACATGTACAAAAAAAAATCAAGAAAAACCTACCAGAATGTGAGGTAGACTAGAGCAGTGGAAAAGTTTTTTAAGTGATGGATCTTTCCGAAAGAAGAAACAAGAAGATTTTCCCCTCTTTCCAAACCCTTAACCCTCTGGACGTGCCTTTGTACCAGTTTGCACCCTATGCCTTGCCAGTCAGAATGTCAGACAAGGAGAGAGCAAACATAACCAACAAAAGATAAAAAAAAAAGTGTCCTCATTCTGGTGTTAGCAGCCACAATGATCTAGAGCATATCCACCCTTCTAGTACAAATTCCACCAAACCCCTCTGTACGTCCCAAGTTTATACTCTACATAATCAGACAGGACCTAATTGTTCCTCCTTGAGAAAAAAACATAATAATAAAACTAAACAGAATGGAGATGTCATCATCGCTGACATATTTTAATTTTTTTTAATTGGTGTTTCTTTTTTATATATATACAAGTATATTCGTTTGAAACATCGGGCGTACACTTTGTAGAAAACACTTTTATAACGAATTCAAGTTTTAATATTGAAATTTAAAAGAAAAAAAAAACAAATAATATGATGAACTAAAAAAAAAATATATATATATATACAAATATTTTCATCAAGTAAATATGATTAAAAATGAATATTTTATTTAAATTTATGCTATAAAATTATATTGAAAATAATAGTACAACTGAAGATTATTCAGACGTATTCCATGCAATGTATAAATCAGTAAATAACACATTTAATTAATAATACTGTGTCAAATAATGTATTGAAAGAAAATAAATTTTTAATAACGTTTATCCTATAAAATACAATAAAGATAATACATTTATTCAGAAAGCAGTTCGTTATAAATCCTTATATTCTGTATCATTTATAAAACAATTGTTTCTTTTGTAGAGAATTGAAAAATGTGTTTATTGACATGCTATTGAATGCCTTAAAAATCTTAGAATCGGCAATCCAAATTTATATTTATAACCAAAAGTTTAAAATTAAAAATATTACATTGAATTACAACATTTTTATATGTTAATCATCATTACAATAATCGACAGATATCATTGTACATAAGTATATAAAATATTGTATAATCTGAGATATACGAAAGGTAAATTTTATTAAAAGATAAAATATTTTTAATTGGAATATTCAGTATAAAAAATCGTATTGAAACTTTTGTGATATTATCTCGTTCACGCAAGAAAATAAATACATTTTCCAAAAATGAAAATAAGAAACAAAATATTAAAAAAGTAAGATAATAATTGTGCATATTTTGTAAATAATTTCTCTATGATTGCCACTTAGTTCGTGAAGCATTTCGAATTTAATGCATCGCGATCCGTTGAAAGTCACAATTTTTGCGATACGTTAGCAATTTTCGAAAAATTTAAGTAAAATTGTATGAAAATATACTAATTAAATATTATTATATATTTATTTGAATTCATTTCACAAAGGAATAAATTATAATGAATGGCAAAGAGTCCCATTCAATATACAGGTATTCAGAGGTAGGCTATTCATGGCCATCAAAAAATATTTCGTAAAAAATAAGTAACTTTATTCCATTTTTTCTTTTAATTTTTAAGAACATAAAGTTTTTTTTCGTTTTTAAAAGTTTGCTGCATGAACACGTAAGACATTATGACAACAGTTTCGACATTACTTTCTCTATTGCAAATATTGTGTTTAAAAATATTCTTGTCATTTAATAAAATATTTTTCATTTATATTAGATTGTGTATACAATGTTTTATATTTACCGTGATTTATATACAGTAGAAACTAGATTTAACATTCTCCGATTTAACGTATTTTTTCATCGGTTCCTTCAAATCTTCATAAACCAAAATATTAAATTATCTCGCCGGTTGTGTGGATAAAATAATTGAACAGTGGTAGTTGGTTGCGGGTTTGAATCTCATCAACAGAGTTTTCCGAGTTTTTTTCACATGTCTAAAACCTAAACAGAGCCAATTTATCGAAGAAAGTCTTTCCGAGAGTTATCCTTCTTGTCAGATTGCTCATATATTGCGTTACCTTATTCCATCAATTTAATCCAATCTTTGTTGGTCATGTCGATAGGCATGGCAAAAGTCGTGACATGTGAAAGGGAGTATATACTGTACATATTGTAAATAGTAATCGCAAGTGTATACGGCAAAAATCATGAAGTGCTCGGACGATACAAAACTCGCTGTATACAGCATTTCGCCATGATCATATCGCGTGAAAAGTTCCATATAAATCATTAATCAATGACAATTTACGGTACCATGGCTAGCCATGGTCACGGTTTCAAGTTGAATCGTGTGACAGGAGTATAACACTAAGGGGGACTCGGAATCGAATTTGGGCAGGTCGAAAAACTCCAGGAATTTTTCGGTCTGTCCCGGATATGTTAAATCCAGGCCATATCCTTGTGGGCCTGGCCGAACCCACGATGGGCTTGGAATAAAAGCTCTCTTAATACCCTCAGAGCAGAGTCAAAAATGTTTCCTTAAAAAATAATTAACACAAAAATAATGAAAGGTAAACGAGCAATTATTTATTGTGACATCGTCACAATGCCGGGCTGCGATTTTTTATTTTTTATCCTATTTTTAATTTATTTAATTTATATATTAATACTTGCCACCTCAAATTAGAAGTGTCTTGCACCTGCACATCATACTTTTCCTTTAACAATAAAGTCGTGCCGATTATCTAATAGTTTTCGGGAAAAAAATTCTGAATTGAAACAACGTGACTTTCACTTTACATCGGAAGTTCGTATATAGTTAATTGGGGTCTTCTACCCCAAAGCTTTCCATATATGGTCTCGGATTTCGTCTATCTAACTTTCTTTTAGAGATTAAGGAAAGGCAGACAGACAGACAGGCAGAGACAGTAGGATTTTATAGATCAAGAATTTTTCAGATTTCAGCCCAAAAATTTTTCGTCATATTTTTCTTATCTTACAGTCTATTTGGATAATTTAGTTATTTTTTAACGTATTTCTAATATCGTACTGTACGAGACAAATTTATATAATAGATTATACTTCTAGCAACTGCTGCCATCTAGTACTAAAAATGATTAAATATTATATTTATTTCAACGAATTCAGCATCTAGAATTAAATTGAATCTTTTATACAAACTTTAATTGAAATGACGACATAAATAATTAAATTTTTGTTAAAATGTTTATTGATATTTAAATCTCTAATAAATAGGAACCAAATAGTACCTTTTTTTTTTTACATTTGTTATCCAAAGGAAATTTTGTAGAATATCCTAAAAAATAAGATTTTATATATTGCTTTATTGTTGATTAATGTTTATATTTCGTTATAAATGTCTACTGGAATTTTCCTGAAACGTTAGCTATGTTTCATATATAGTTATATCTACCCCGAAATTCTGTGATTTTATTATAGAAATTTCACAAAAAAATTATTTAATTAATTAAATATTTGCCCAGATAATAAAATTTGTTGTATAAAATAAGTGTTATATTGAATATTTTCTCTACAATAGAAGTTATTGGAGCTGAAAATTGCGTTATACAAAATTAAAATTTTTAACATAATTACAAATAAAATGTTTGTTTAATTTTAAACATTTTAGAAAAATAAATGTTTTTATTCTTTAGAATTATTTTAAATTTAAATTTAAAATATAATTCCGAATTTTTACCGTATTTTCGAATCATTTACATTATTAATAATGGAAAGAAATATATTATTAATCTTTTCTATAATTCTACTAAATGTCTTTCAGTCTGTTGAATGTATTACAGAATTAGAAGAAAATTATAACCTTCTTCTTGTTTCAACAGAAACATATAGACAATTGGAAAACAAGATGAGTCCTACTGAAAACACAAACATTACCAAAAAATGGAATTTAAAATACCAAACTACTTCAAATGAATTAATAAGAGATTTAAATTCAACCATAATAAGTATTATGCCGAGAAACAGCGAATGGTATGTAAAAGATAAAGCATTTATATTGCAATTCCCTAGAAAAAATCTCAACTTGCATGAACCTAATTTCAGGTAAGCGAATTTTTACTTTAAATTTTAAATGAACCTATTAATTTTAATTAAAGTCGAAAATTGAATGAGAAATAACAGGAATTATAACAGTTAAGATTTTTGTATTCAATACTAAATGGATTCACTTTTCTCACTTCGCTCGTTTGTCCCAACAGTTTCTATTTTTGTTTTTTTCTTACTTTTTCGTGACAGGGAAACGTTCGTGATGATTTTAAGCCAGGTATTTTAAACTGTTAAGTAGTTTATATTCTAATAAAGTATGTTTTGCCAACCAGCGGCCGATTGGATAAAAAACAAAAAATAAACTGAACACTGTTAGTTCGCTCATTATCAACAGGCTAGCCCACCGTACAGTTTTCCAATTTAAATAAGGTACAGTTCTTTTTATAGAAAGTCTTTCCGGAAGACAGTCCCCTTAGCACAGTGGTTCCCAACCTTTTTTCATTAGCGTACCCCGTGACATGCCATATCTCTAGATTGTACCCCGTGACATGTCATATCTCTAGATTGTACCCCGTGACATGTCATATCTCTAGATTGTACCCCGTGACATGTCATATCTCTAGATTGTACCCCTCATTTAAGAAATTTAGTGAGTAACCGTATTGTTAATTTTACATATTGTAACTTTAAATTAAAGAAAAAAAAACTAAGAGAAAAAATGTATAATAAAGTTGTGATTGTTGCAAGGAACATTATTTATCTAATAATTTTTTAATACTATTAGTTTGTGATACATAATATATTATTTTTTCTGCCATAATAACTAACTTTTTTCTGTACCCCTAAAAAACCTATCGCGTACCCCTAGGGGTACGCGTACCACAGGTTGGGAATCGCTGCCTTAGCAGATCGTCCATTTGTTACGTTTCCGTATTCTATCAAACCAAACCTAATGTTTTCAAAATTCTGTTGTGGTTATTAATGGATTCGTTATGATATACCGCATTTACGGCATATAAGACATGACTTTTGTCCAAAACGAAAGCTAAAAAATCGTTCTACGTCTTATGTGTGAAGTTGCGATCTCTCACAGGCCAATAAGTTATCAAATTGCATATATCGGTATTCATAACTACCAGATATTTTGATTTATATGTTTGCTAATATCTAATTAGCTCTTGCATGTATTAATGTAGAATATTTGATAAATTATAACTGTAAACCACTTTCTTTGAACACCACTAAATAAAAGTAGGCCTATATATTCTAATTTTACTTCTAAACCAGAATACAGTAAAAATAATTTTGAGCCTAGTGTCAAAGATGCAGGATACCTTAAATACACTATTTTCTCCTAAATATTCTGCGCTGAAATGGAGAAGCGTCTTATATTTCGCAAAATACGGCAATATAAAATATAATTTTAAGCAATTTATAAGACAATAAAGAATAGGTGTTTTAAAAACTCTTTCCATCCTGTGGGCACTGGAATGCTCTTAATTTAATCCCGTCGTGAATTCCGTCAGACCCGCATTGACACGGCCGCGTGGTAAGGGACGAAATCCGACATATCTGAGACTGATCACTCTCTGAAAAATTTCAGATGTTTTTCGACTGTTGGTTTCAATGGCTTTAAAGAAGCAATAAGGCCGGATGGCCAAAGTAATTAAGGCTGGGGCATTCACCATTTTGGCCATCCGGCCGATTGCTTCTTTAAAACAATAGCTTCAATATCCAAAGCTTCTTTATATTTTTCTAAATGAGGGAACTGCCCTGTAATCATGATTAATTTGTCAGTTTAAACAATAGATAATAATGATATCTTATTTAAGTTGTAAGTTAATATTAATTTTATTATATATTTTTATTATTTAGCCGTTTGTATTTATTATTTAGCTGTTTAAATCAATTGAGAATAAATAAAATTTTAAAAAATTTTGATTTATTGATTATTTCTTCTAGAATTTTACCAGTTCCACCACGTTTTTTCGATCAACATACTTTCTATTCACGTTTTATTCGAAGCATAGTTAAGAGTAGTGAATGTATCTTTCTCTACAAAAACACTTGTGCCTTTACCCTAAAGACTAACGATAAATTGATCAAAAAAGTGATGCACATATTAATTGCTGGTACATTGTGTTATTCGCTTTATTATTTAGTTCGTAATACTCCGTTTCCAAAATCAAAATAACACGAATCACATTACAATTACTCTTTCAGCTGGAAATGATTGTAAAAGTCAACCGTGTCAAAATGGCGGAACTTGTAGACCCGAACCACATGGATATCAATGTATATGTAAAGTCGGTTTCAAAGGACAGTATTGCGAGGAGAATATAGACGACTGTTATCCAGATGCATGTCTGAATGGTGGCACGTGCGTAGATAAAGTTGATAATTTTGTTTGTATTTGTCCTCGAGGATTCACGGGAGTAAATTGTTACCAGCGAATTCCTTGTGCACCAAGTAAATTATTTTTTTTTTCTAATATTATCAACATTTCATATAAACTAAGATGGCATTTAGTAAAAAAAAAACAAACAAACGATACCACTGGATTTTAAACCGGATAATTAATTACACAGATATCACGTTATTTGGTATAAAGGTAGGAAGTTCAGCCGCTATCTCGTGTTTATTAATTATAAATAAATTAATTCATTTCTAATTATATTACTTTTCCAGCGGTTATAGAATACACTAATGGGAAAAGTATGATGATCGGTCAAATTTTGGGTTCTTTTTTTTCTGCATATCTCGACTTTTTGACAATGAAGGAACCCAAAAAGCCTGGAAGCATTCTTACAAAATTCTCTTTCTTTGTTTTACATTATTTCAGGACTGGTTAAAGCAAAAATTTTGAAACTTGACAGGATTATTTTTATATATGAAGTCTTGATGGTATTAAATTTAGGTGGTTAAAGGCCATGGGAATAAAAAGATAGAGGGAGGAGTCACATGTCTTAAGTCGAATGGAATAGGATTTATGAAAATTCTATTCATTATTGACATTTACAATATTTTTAAAAACTCACCTCTACCCTCAAAATGAAGCCTTTTGCATTTTTGTAATAATAATATAAAAATTATTTTGTAATAAAATCTCAAAAGGTGATGCTACACACAAACTTGGGCTATTATCATAGAGTTTTTTAAACTTGAACATTTTTTAATATAGATTTTTTCATGATTTAATAAATTACCATTCATAAACTTTCGTTATTAATAATATTTATAGAGTGGTTTAATTTAATTATATAGCATAAAATTATCAGATTTCTTGGTATCTTAACCTCCTGTTCAAGACCCCAGAAAGTGAAACAAGTGCTCTTGACAGCATTCTTTTGTAATTAAGAAGCCATAATTTAGCCCGATTAAAATCCTGCGGTATCGTTTGTTTATTTTACATATTAATTTATTCAAGATAATGTTTTACTCACTAGCTGGATGCTTAAACGGTGGGACATGTGATCTTGATGAAGTAGACTGCATCTGTCGAAGAGGATTTACGGGACAGTTTTGTGAAACTAATATAGATGACTGCGCAGCTGACCTCTGCCAAGTTAATGCTATGTGTTTTGATGGATTTTACGCAAGTTAAATTTTTATAATCTATAGATTATTGAAGTTTATAAGCATCTAAACGTTACAGAATTTATTTAGGACGTTAACTGTTGTTGCGACATTGATCATGTGGGAAAATATTGTAAAAACGAGAAAAGATGTAATAACGAATTATGCAATAATAGAGGAAAATGCATTGTAAGGAATAACACAGAAATATGCAGATGTTTAAAATTATATAAAGGCAAATATTGCGAAATAGAAATTAAAAATTGTTCAGTTAACCATTGTAAAAATGGAGGTTTGTGTGTGCCTGCATATCCGAAAAATATTTGTCGATGTCCGCCATCACATAAAGGAAACGATTGTTCAGAAGGTAGTTTAAAAGTGTTTTATTTCAATTAAGAATTCTAATCGTAGCGAAATAAATTGTCAATTAATTAGTAGTGTTTAAAAATGGATTTCTAAATCTGTAGTGATGATTTGTTTACTTTCAGAGAGATATTTCATGTACGCACTCAACTTTCAAAAAAATATTACTACCGAATATTCAATGGTAGTCAATAGCCGTTTACTTGAAGAAGTTACTTTTGCATTTTGGATGAAAGTTTCGACTCTTCAGCAAAGAGGAACGTTGTTTTCATATTCGTACTTAGATCCAATTAAATACCAAGATGAACTGCACGGGTTTGGCTTAAGCGATACTTCATACTTAAAGTTATATATGTTTGGAAAGAAATATCTTTTAGAAATTAAACCCAATACGTGAGCATTTAATATTTTCTATTTATATTTTTAGTAAAATCTTTTATATTAATTTACTTTGTACATATATTATCTTAAACAATGGGTACAAAATTTAGAAATTGGCATCATTTCGCGGTAACATGGAAGAGTGATTCTGGAGAAGCGTCAGTTTATTGGGATGGAAAACTAAATCGCATCATAAATAACGTGAGAAGAGGTAGACTTTTATGGAATGGTGTTCTAGTGCTTGGACAAGAACAAGTTGCACTCGGGGAAGTTTCCTTTATAGGACATTTTTCTAAAGCGGAAACATATTTAGGAAAGATAATTGAAGTAAATTTTACTTAATTCTCTTTATAATATTTTTATTTAAACTTTAATGAAAGAATGCATTCATCAAGAAACGTCCCGTGAATTTATGTATTGTAGGAATTATCAAAAATAATTAACATCACTGTGAATTTGAATCCTGTTTATAACTTAGCATAGCATATATAGTACTGGTTAGAGATTAATGGATTAGGTCTATTCATACAGGACATAATTATGTATGACCTTAAATATTATGTAGTCTTAATATGTGTCTTACATTAACGCTACTCTATATTTAGAGCATTTAGAGGAAATTTAGAGTACTGATATTTTAAATACTAGAGAGGTTGCGGCCNCTAGGTTGCGACCGAAGTTTTCATCTGTAAAACGTGAACGTCGAACGTCGAGCGCCGCTTACAAGATAGCGGCGCTCGACGTTCGACGTTCACGTTTTACAGATGAAAACTTCGGCCGCAACCTCTCTATTAATAGCTTAAATATGTTGGTATTCAATCAGTCCGTACTGTTTTTAGTTTAAAATTTCATTTCTAGTTTAATGTGTGGGATATTGCTTTGTCGTCATCGTCGATAAAAGATATGTATCAGACATGTACTTTAGGCCTAATTGGAAATGTTATTGCTTGGGATCTATTTAGAGATCATCTTCATGGTTCTGTACAAATTGAAGACAATGTCAGAATATGTTCAGGTAAATACTCCTGTTTTTGTTTATTTTGAAATATATTTGACTTATATGAATTTAAATATTTATAATCTACATTTTCAATTACTTTAATCGTATTTCTACTAGTATTTTACATTTATTTTACAATTTTGATCGTTCTATTTTCTAATATATTCAACTATTATAGATATGCCTAACAATAGTTTCATAATACACAAATTAAAATTAATAAATACATGAAAAAAACAGTAAATATTTCACCGACTTTATTATATTTAATATAAAAATAAAAAAAACATATTTTCGGATTTTTAAATTTTTCGAAGATACAGGGTGATCATAACTAAAATAATAGCAATCTAAAAACAACAAAATTTGGTACGGTGATATTTCAGGACATGTGGAAGACAGCCAATAACCCAGGAACGACCCTTTACAGTAGGTCTACTTATAATAAATTTGTAATATAATAAATCCGACCTAAAACATCGTAAGAAATTCTAAGAATTTAATGTGAAACATAGGTGAAAATGGTACAAGTGATAGGTGAAAATGGTACAAGTGAAGTTGGTTTTACTATTTATCTTCATAGATTATATTTAATGCTTTCAGGAACTGGTTTTTGTAAAAATAACTGCTTCTGTTACAGTCAATCGATGCTGACATGTAAGCTATATTAAGCATAATTTGATTTTAATGATACATTTCCGTAAAAATAAAAACCAAAAGTCGTTGTAACATAAATTAACTGAATTGTATAGATGAACAGTGCGGAAAAGATATCGGCACTTGTAATCCCAGTCCGTGCAAGAATAAAGCGCAATGTGTATTTGATAATGGTATTTCTCAATGCGATTGTCCTGAAGGATTCAGAGGAGTATTGTGCCAATATGGTAAGCAATATAACATGATATAAAAACTTTACTTTTATATAAGAGTATATGAAAGGTTTTAAATATCATTAATAAATTGTATTTAGTGCACGCGCATTTTTTGAGGTAAGCACATCAAAAAGTTTGGATTATTATTAAAATTGGTATTCTGTGTAATTTTGTAAGAAAAAGATAATGTATATATAATGATGCTTCGTAAAAAATAGTGAAGTATCATAAAGCAGTGGCAATATATGGTAAAATAAAATAAAATAAATTTCGAAATGCACAGAATTTCAGCAAATGAATACAGTATACGTATAATCAAAAATAAAAGTTTCGCGAAAGTCATTGGGTAATATAGTCAATTTGTTTTAGCACATTACCTTGAAAAAGTCACATAAATTAATAGCAGTACGTGTTTACTTGTATTTCGTCGTGTACATCTTTCTCAGGATTGTATGGATTGATGGGAAAAGGCAACGCAACACAAGGGAAGTCTGCAAAGGGCAGTTCTCTCTTGTGTTGCGTTGGTCTTCCAAGTAGGACTTTCTATGGGAAACTGGTCTCTATTTAGGCATTAAACATTAAGAAAACTCGAAACACCACGTGGTTTATCGCGTTTTCTTCGCGTGTCTAACCCGCGGGCACGTGGTGAGGCACGAACTAATGACCAGTGTTTAGTGGATTTACTTTTTCAGAGGGAAATGTTTTGAATAATATATATTATAAATGCTACAATGCACTTTCAATTATTTTATAATTTTTATTTTCTTATTTCTTCTAAAAACTTTAGGCAATATCATTAATTTGTTCAACAACCGAATAGGAATCGCTCATTTTATTAACGTTACAAACAGTTATATTTATACAAATATAAGTTTGGCTTTAGTTATATTTATAATTTTAAAATAAACATAATAATTTTTTTACAAAATCAAATTCTTATTTTTAGATATAGATGAATGTATAGAGAATAGGCATAAATGTTCTCATTTATGTCAAAATACACTTGGGTCTTACAAATGTTATTGTCCCTTAGATAAGAAAATGTTTCGTAGTAAGTGCATCGGTAAGTATTCGATATTTGATTTCAATACATTTGAATATGGATGATTTATGTAAATATATTGTGACAAATTTACTGATTATAACAAATTTTCCAGATAAACAAAAATGCGTAGTTGATGGCACAATTTATTCAGTAAGTAATTTTATAATACAGTATAAATAAATTGTTATTTTTAAACTTAGAAAATTTATTCAAAAAAATATTTTCTGTAGCAAACAATGCATAAAATGTATCCTTAAATGTTGTCCTTTTTATGCACATCACGAATTATAATTAATTAAAGACACATTTTATGTATTATGTTACAGAAAATTTTTTTATTATTAATTTTCTAAGTTTAAATTCTTATTGTACTGGCAAGTATTTTATATTAATTGTTATTTCGAATAAATACGATCAATTTGATTTAAATCGTATCCGTTTAAAAAGAGAGATCAAAGCAATTAAAATTTCATAAAACGAGATTCCTTTATTGCTATCAATTTAACATGATTTAGATGTTATTTTACAGTAACATAAAATAATTTCGAAATGCCAAGAAAAAGTACAGAATCTCATTAAATAGCTAAATATTTTACTGAAAAGTAACGTTTAATAACTTAATAAAACTTAATAACTTTAAATATCCAATATTTTACAGTATAAATGAGTAGAAGTTTCTAATACTTCTGATATTTTGTTACGAACAACACAACAGAATCGATAGAAGGATCTAATTTTTTTAAAGTTTGCTCTTAAAAACATAAATTATTCTATAATTTAGACTTACTTAAAAGTATATAAATATGTGTAATTTATTTTTAATAGTATACTGATAAAAGCTGTAGTATTGAATATGTTATTTATAGTTTTATAGTCAGTTTTTTATGTTTTAATATCAAAAGAAATNACTATTTAATTCTTATTTTTTATAAATTACAGTTTTTATTTTTATTTTTAAGCCTGGAAATAGTTGGATTAAAAATTGTCAAAACTGTAAATGTAACAATGGAACTATCGCCTGCCATAAATTATGCGATAACGAAGACTCTTGTAGAGAAGTGAATGAAATTTTCTTTGAATAAAATTATTTGTAATTAATTTTACTTATTATTAAACAAAAATATTAAAACGTATAATATAGGGCGAAATGCTGAGTTTAGATATGAATGGATGTTGTGATAAATGCTTTAAAGGTAAAAATTTTATATTTATTTTCATATAATGTTTTCTTATACTGTATACATAGTATATTAAAGTATGTAAACTAAGCAATTTGTAAAAATAATAATATATTAAGTAATATATTAAATAATAAAGTATTATTGTTTTAGTTAGACTATTAGTAATGACTTATTCATATACGAGTAGAAGGGTCATGATTATATTAACAGTTCTAAATTAAGCAATAAGTAGACATTTACATAAAGTAACATTAAAATGATATTTTAATTCTTTATCTAAGAAGAATTGTGAAAATTCTGATGCCAGTCTATATGACTGCTTCAATTTTGTGTTACAAGATTAATTTCAATTGGATCTTCATATATAGTCGATAAATGAACAACGTTTAAATAATAGTCTAATATTGTAAACTGGTCTTCATAATTATCAAAAATAATCATTGGAATAGAATGTAGACAATACCAAGTTTTTATGTAACAGTAATTATTTCTTAATTATATTTAAAATGAACTTTTCAATATGCTAACTATACGTATAACAGCTTTATGACATAGTTTTTCAAATGTTTTACTCAGTTTTTAAAAATACAATAATTATTTAGGTTATACAGTATTTATTATATGAAAGAGAAACAATATTTACATGGCTTTATACAACATCATATTGCATGTTATATAATTCTGTTTAATAAACTCCGAAATATACGCTTAATATTTAATATCTAAAATGTAATTTGATTTTTTAAAAGTATTGTTGATATTTTATTTTATTTGAAGTTTATTTATAAAAGTATTTATTTGTGTAGTTTCTAACTGCACTTTAAACAACGGAGAAGTAATCACTATGGATGGATATTCGCATAGATTTGCAGGAATATGTCGATATGCCTTAGTTGACGATTGCATGTATGGTACATTCAGTATCAGATATGAAGATGCGGAAGTGGGAAGTGTTAATAAAACTTACTTTATCTATAATAATTGTGTAGAAGTAAAAATTACGGAGAACGGAGATGTTTTCGTCGATGGATTTCTAACTGATGTTCCTTTCACTAACAGCACTACAGTACAAATAAAAAATGACGATGCAAATTCTCTCTTAATCAGAATTAGCCAAGGAATATCAGTTACGTGGTATTCCACCGTTAGTATTAAGATTTCTGTTCCAATAATTCATAAGAGCAGAGTGTGTGGACTGTGTGGTAACTTTAATGAAGACGCCGATGATGATATTATGTATGTAAATTACATCGAAAGTAGATTAGTTATGGTAAGCAAAATAAATTTCTAGTTATATTATTTCATATTATCTCTAAATATTTTCATATTACATTATTGCAGGCTTCAGATCATGAAAAAATAAGATGTAAAGTAATGCCAGTGGTAGATTTTCCAGCTCCTCCTATTGAATTCCATTCTACTCCTTTTATTTATGACGACTATTTATCGCATTTTAATGATACCGATTTCAATGAAATCGAAGATAATACTACAGTAGATTTTCTAACTACATTTAGCTATAATACCGAAACTAATACGAATATTTATCCTATATATACAACGGAAAGCTCTGCATTTACATCCAAGAGTCATCTTTTGATACTATTATTAATTTTAATTATTAAAAATGAATTATATTTATTATTACATTGATTTGTATTATATATAATATTTAAAGAACATCTCAATTATAAATAAAAATTATATCCATTAATTAAATTGAGGAAATTTCTGTTGAAATTTTATAAAGAAACGTTTTATTTTAACAATGTGAGATCTGGAAAATAAGCATTATCATGTAATCATGCATGAACCTATACAAAATATATCATAGGATGTTATTTTTCAAATAATAAATTAGTCCATATAACGAATTAACGAAGTTAAGGCGTTAGTAGTAGGCTAACGCCTTAACTACTAATGCAATTAAGACGTTAGCCTAATGCTCTTGGGGACATGGGATCGAGTCCGGGCTAGCAACTCTCCAGAAATCTTTCATAGGAAGTGTTGCGGATATGTCGAGCGCCGTCCCTCATCACCTGGCTCCATTGTGAGCTTAGCAAAACTTACGATGACTGGGAGAAAAAGGCTTTCTTAACCTATTCTTAACCTATCAGCACTCACGGCTGATTTGAGGGTGCAAATTGTGGTAAGTATAGAATTTTAAAAATTCATGCGACCAGTCTTGTACGAATTTTAGTTTTATTTTTGCCTGTTAAAATACTGTTTTCTTCTTTGAATAAAATTACGATCTGCAGCGATGATTAAGTCGTATGAATAACCTCTTCAACAACCCATTAATCGAGTTATTAGTATCAAAATGTCAAAATAATCAAATTTTTACAAAATTAGCTTATTTCACAATGATACAAAAAGTGAGTGTCAAAAATCAAAGTGACTTTAAAGTTGCCAGAAAAATATGCATGTACTGTACGTAGATATGACATTATAAATAGGAAAATTAATTCTGTCTGTAAAAGAAGGTAATTTTATTTAATATTACGTTCACACTGAAAAAATATTTCAGATATTGCATGATGCCTACATTGCTATTAGCCACAGCGGCAGAAACTCATGGAAAAACAATTAAGTATGAAATATTAAAATATTACAAGGGAGATGACCTTAATTTATTTGAACTTATGTGAAATCTGTCAGAAAAAAACAGAATGTTTCTTTCATATGAAAAAGATCTAACCATGCTGATTTCCAAAAACCATGCTATTGATACTACATAGTGGCGAATAACGAAGAAAAAAACAGTTAATTCCAAAATAGAAAAAAATATATGAAATATGTCTAAAACAAGGAAAATTGCATTGTCTAATCTTAAAAACTAAGAACAACTAATGTTGTGACACAGTAAGGATTCGTATATCAGATGTAGACAGAGCTTGCAGTAATGGAAAAAATATTTTAGGTGTCGTTGTTGCAATTGAAGATAAAAATCTTCACAAACGGTACTAAATATGGCATATTAAATCTATTATATTCCAGAAACCAATTTACTGTTTGTAAAGAAAACTTCATTTCTGTTGGGGATATACTGAATGCAGAAATTTCGCTCACAGTATGTACAAGAAAGATATCAATTTCTGGAGGCCAAGACTATAGTCGATGCTTCTGCAAATTTGGTTGAAAATCTAATAGATATAAATGCTATAAAAAAAATTATATAATTCTAAATGTCATCAAAATTTTAATTGCTCGAATGAATAAATTAATCAATATTTATCAGGCTGCGCAGCCATTTTACTCATTATTCATAATGGCTGGGCATTATAAACAATGTCCTATTAAATACTTTGTCCATAACGTGTATAAAAAAAATTTTTTTTTAATTTGTTTATTGATCCACTTGTACGAAAATTCGTCTGTTATTTTTTTATAATTTATTGTTATGTATGACAAAACATCTAAAAGTTTAAATAAACAAGGAAATACTTTCAAAACCATTGCAACTTAAATGGCTTTATGACTACGACCTTACATAAGATATCAATTTTGATGTTATTCAATATAGAAAAGAGAAATCAATTTAAAAACACGCATTTATTAAACTTAATTTTATTAATAAATGACAATAATATTTATCTAAAAAAGTTGTTAAAAGTTTTCAGTGCTTAACAGATACATCCTTTGTTCCCAGTTCTTAGAAAACATTTCATTAATACAAGTATAAACAGTATTTCTGCGAAAGGTAGTATCATTTCGCCATCCATTAAAATTTTAACGCGACGACTCTTAGTTTGAGAAATGCTGTTATAGATACATTTTTCACTTTCATTAATATAATAACCACCAATAAATGGCTTTTGAAATCGATATCTATAAATCGATGAAGCAAAGAATTTCTTGAAAATGGCAATTAGTTTTCTTCAAATAAGTAACTCCTAAATATGATAAATTGTATAACTTATCGCATAAAATCGATTCACCGCACATAACTATTGGATCATCACTTTTAATCTTGATGTAATAGTAATTCCATTTTTTCATTAATAATGGCTCAAACAACCTCATTTCATAAATATCATGCAATGGATTATTTGAATCATTTTCGCTATTTATGATTTTGGCGTATTCGACAAGCTTATAAGATTCGCTGGAGCTAGCAATATAAAGTTGAGGCTGAATTTTTATAGAATTTTTCATACACACAGTGAAGCCTTTTAGTAAAATATCATTCCAGGATGGTATGATACAGCACTTGATCCTCAGTTTTTCAGTTTTTTTTATCTTGTCGATTGATGAAAAACAGATTTGATTGAATCTCAACCTGTATAAAGTATTTGGTTTCACAGAGCCTATTCTGTTATTTTTTTCAGTATTGCACCAATTTGGAAGATCGGTAAATTGTTCGGGATTAGATAAGTGCATTGCAATCTGCATGATCTCTTCTGATTTAATTATTCCACTTCTTGCAGGGCTTCCAAATAACTGATTATGTGTCATAGTTAGAAATCTTATGTGAGGCAGAATAGGGTCCATAATTTTTCTCAAATTTTCTGGGCAATTTGTTTTATTTAGTCGACGAATCTCTTCTTTAACCCATTTTGTTATAGCTACAAAAAGAAACAATTCGTCGGGAATATTAAGAAAGTCGAAAGATATTATTTTTTGTATCGTTTTTGAAGAAGATCTTAAGAAATTTTGAGATTCTAATACTTTTACGGTATCCATTTTTATAATGTTTCCACATTTATTGTCAAATATATCGTCATTCATTTGAATTGCTATGTCGTAGGCCACACAAACATTCTCAGAACTGAGTTTGGCTATTGCTATTTCTCGAGAAAGTTGCATGAGTTCGACTATGGAATACTTGTTTGCCACATAGAACAATTTGATGGCATCGTCGAATTCGTCAGTTTCAAGTTTTTCTGTATAGACGTAGCTAATAAACAAGAATTGTTTTTAACAAAAGATAAAGTAAAGGATAAAAATGATAAAGAAATAATCTAATAGTTATCTCCACTAATAAAATGTGAATAATTTCTTAGCATTAAACTTATGTGTAAAAGTTACATATCAAATTATAATAAGTATTTGAATTAATTTAAATTAATATTGTTTAATGAATTTAAGTTAAATTAATTAAATTAAAAATATAAAATAACAAATCTGATTACCGTATTTCGTCAATTAAACCTTGAAGGGTTTAAAAATTAAATAAGATTCTTACAACGTACGTATTCCTTCAATTTATTTGAAATCCGGGGTTTTCAAGGCCAGGATTTATTATCTTGCAACAGAAGACAAGTAGGTAGAAGTTGAAAGAAATGTTTTAATTACTTGTATATTTTCGGAACTACCGAAACTGTTTCTTGACTGTATTTATGGGTTACGGCTACATAATATAAATACTGTTTTCACATTTAACCTATTCAGCCTCTTCCTATTAGGTTGTTACGTTAAAATTCGTGTCTGTCTGTCGTTGCTGGAATCTGAACTATTTTCTGCTTCAAATTTATCATCTTCAATTGCAGTATTATCCTTCGGTTGATAAGTTCTCGACTTATGAACTTCCACGTTTAAAATTCGACAATATTTATAATTTAATTTTCAAAAATGTTCCCCGGAACTTTGAAATAGGAAGTACTGTCCGACTCTAGACAATTTGAAGAGGTAGAACTTTATTTAGATTTTTTAACTGTCACTCTATTTGTACTTTACCTTACTCCATACAGTACAGTACTTCAACATATTTCCCATGTTTTACAGTCCGGGATTTATTTTTAACAGTAACTTTATTCCACGTGGTTTAATCGGAAAAATACGGTGTATNCTCGACTTATGAACTTCCACGTTTAAAATTCGACAATATTTATAATTTAATTTTAAAAAATGTTTCCCGGAACTTTGAAATAGGAAGTACTGTCCAACTCTAGACAATTTGAAGAGGTAGAATTTTATTTAGATTTTTTAACTGTCACTCTATTTGTACTTTACCTTACTCCATACAGTACAGTACTTCAACATGTTTCCCATGCTTTACAGTACGGGATTTATTTTTAACAGTAGCTTTATTCCACGTGGTTTAATCGGAAAAATACGATATATATAAATTGTTTTTCAGAGGAAAAACAATTTAAAATTTTAATATAAACTAAATATTGACATAAATAATGTTTGATATAATATTATTGTAAATAGCATTATATTTCTTCTTTATTGCTGTAATATTTATTGTTTTGTTATTTACTTCTGGCTATGCTTGTTTGCGGAACCAGGAGATGTGTTGTTGAAACATCTTAATAAAATATATTGATTGATTGATTGATTCCTGGATTTGATACCTCCACTAAACTAGCATTTTCATTAGAGAACATGCTATGTATATGCTTATAATAAATGTTATAAAACTTTTTAGTTTTAGTGAAACAGATAAACGCAATCTGTTTTATTTTATTATGAAACAATTTCTGATTTGTCTGATATGGCTAATAACCGTGAAGAAATAATAAAAAATAAAACGGTAGTAATATTGAATTTTAACTTTTTTGAAATCATCCGTTGAAGTAGTGGAAAAAAATCGTATCGTTTGATTTTCTTAAAATTCCAAATGCCATTCTCTTTGAAGCTATTCTGAAATGGGTTAAGGAGTTTTGTCTCAGAAATGATGTAGCAACTGTAAATTTACCTTGGGTTTTGAGAAAAGTATCGAAAAGTATTTTGCCTCATATAAGATTTCTTACATGATGAACTATTTAACAATTTTGAGACTGAACGAGATTAAAGTCAATTCGAAGTGCCTATTTTGACTGCATGCAAATTACCTATAAAATGCTTTTTTAAAACGTTGTTCACAAATATTAAAGTTAAAAGATTCGTTTTCTGCTTCAAAATCAGTGCTTCCGTTTATTTTATTGGTAAAGAAAATGAAACATTTCGTTTGATAGACTTTCATAAAGTAATGAACGACGAATTATATTCTGCTTATAAAATAAAATTTATAAAACCAGTTATATTAAGGAAAAATTCTAATAATTACATCCAAATATTATGCGATGAGCCTTTTATGTCAGATAAATCAGTTTCTTTCTTTCTTCCTGGATATGATTTTGTTTGATATTTAATTGTTACCTGTGATTTATCTTTTATCCGTAAGTGAAGTTGCTGTTGATGGAAAAGTTATGTGAATCTTTACATATATAAAAAAAACTATGAGGTAAGTCCAGAAATAAAGGATAGAAAGGAACAGAAAGTTAATTTAGTGATATTTTATTTTAAAATGAAATTAGAGAATAGATATATTTAAGAAATCAAATGAAATCAAGCTAGTTATTCTGACTATTAAAAAATTGGACGATCTGTCAAGGAGTGCCTCCCGAGAGAAGTTTCTGTGGGAGATTGGCCTCTATTTAGGTCTTACACAAGTGAAGAAAATCCGGAAAACATGCGGCCAGCTCGTTAGTTGAGCGCAAATTTGTGACCAGCTACTAGTGCTCGATGTTTTTATACACTCGACCACTACTTTCTGAACATTTGTACATAAAATACTATATAAAATCATTGTGTTTATTATTGACAGCGAATTAGCTTAGAATCTAGTATAACATTAAAGTTCATGAGATCAAAATTCGGGGTCAGATAGGCCTAGATGGCAGCTTAAGACCTCACTTTTTTATACGAATTGGTGAAATATGGTGGAAAGACTATGCCTGTTATATGTTATAGCTTAGAACCATAACAAGTCTTAATCCGTGACTGAATTGAAATATTTTAATTAAAAATGAATTGGTTAAAATTTTTCGTGATACTAAAATGGTATTTAAAAAACTCAAACTTAGAAATATTATATATATAATGTTACAATATCAAGAACTAAAAGAAAAAAAAAAATGCTTAAAATAATCTAAATTGATTATATTTGGTAAATCAAATCAGTATGTCTAAATGAATGTTAATGCATAGCACTTAAATATACAGTAATATAAACACCATACTTTTTCGTTAGCAATGGAGTCGTGCTGGTCATTCATCTACTGTAACTGCTTTTAGGGAAAAATTTTTAAATTGAACTTCCGGTTTGAATAGGAAGTTCATATATAATTATTCAAGCCTCGTGTACCCTAATCTTTCCATATCTGGTCTTGAATTTCATTTATCTAGCACCGTTCTTGAGATTAAAGAAAGACCGACAAACAGACGGGCGGACGGACGACAATTTATTGGTCTACAATTTTTTAAATTGCAGTCCAATTTAAGGCTCTTGTTCGTTAGTTTATTAGTTTATTTTTACAATAAAATAATGATGAAAAAAACAAAAAATAATCTCTGTCTATAGCGTATATACAGAACATCGATTCAAATATGAAAATAAAACTGGCTGCATAAATTAAATTTACATATGATACATAAATATAAATTATTATAAAAACAAACTCTATATTTGTTTTTACTTTTTACGAAAAGTTTGTATTTTGATGAAACAGTAAATTAATTATCATTTAATGCACAGTCGAGCTACCCTATTTTACCTTATTTTAAAAATGGTAGTATACTGTTTATAAAGTCCTTAAACCGATTAGATAAGACCGATAAAACTGTTCCTGTTATTAATTTGAATCTGTTAGAAAATATTAAGGTTGTTACAAACATTTGTCCTCCTTCAATTTTTTATCATCATCCTCCTTGAAATAAATGAAATATTTTAGTGTTTTTCATTTAAAATATATCAACTTGTGCATATTAATGAGATAATTACAATTATTTCTTTAATGATAATTATTATCTCAAAATACAGAACAAATTATCAAAATAAAAGTATTGATATTTCATTTTAGACAGAGAGTTAAAAGCCTTTCATCGTTTCTCAAATCTACAGATTAGTAAGTTTAAATATACATATTTATTTAAAATATACCTGTAATACTGTATTATGTAATATAAAATCTTAATTTTCGAATTTTAAACAAAATTACTTTATAGAAATTTTATAAAAATAATAATTTTCGAAAAAACTTGTGCTTAATAAACGATATGCCATATTATTTTAATATAATTTTTCTATAGAATAACTGAAATAATTCTTTCAATTATTTTAAATCATTCCTGTATAGTCATATACTTCAAGTACTGTAAGAAGTGTTTTTTATAGTTTAATTAGGCCTGCAAGCTTAAGGATTTCAAAAATACGCAAAGGTTGTTCTATTTGGAAGATTCGCATTTTTCACGTAGTTGAAGGTTTTGCTTGTGTTTTTGTATTTATCATTCATTTTCATAAAAACGTATGAAGAGAGTACTTGTTTAAGTAGAAAGAAAAGAAATAAAATTATCTTATAATTAACTATAAACATTTCACCGACAAAAAAATTCTATTTTATTAGAAATATTGTTTTGTTTATATTTCTCTTAATCTTATAGATAATGAATGTACAGTGAAGTACTTCATGTATATATCTGAAGTGTGAAGAGGACGGTTATGCCGAAAAATAGCATTCTTTCTTTAAAAGCTGAATTTTAAAAAGTCTTAGAAAAGTTGTTGATAGGATAAATTTAAATAATATAGGTATTATCGTCCTCAATGTGAATTGTTAAAAGGGTATAAAACTCTATATAATTTGCTTTGGTTAACTTGCCTCTAGCAATCTACAACTAATTGAAGGATATTTCTGTAATAAAATACCAAAATCAGTCGCATAATAAATTTAAATCGAATTTATCGCTTCCATTATATTGATAGTGTCATTTCCCTTTCATTTTGATTGTAAATAACCCTTATAAAACGTGTTTAAACTAAATTAATTTTAAAATTTGATATCTAACTAAAAGAAATATTTGCATTATATTTCGTCACAATAAATTTTATAAAATAATTTCTTCGTGCATTGTTTACTGATGAATTTGCATTTTTTGCGAAGATTTAACCTTTGGATCGTTTTCTTCATTTTATCTTCCTTTTATCAATTTAAATAATATCAAAGTTAATGATAAATGTATTAAATTCCATAAAATATTATTTAATAATAGATAATAATCGGTGGAATTAAGACCTTCCGGGCCCTTAGTAATAGAAAATTGGATATCCTTTACGTAATTTTACGTCATTGAAAACTAATACTATGTAATTGTAGTCATAGAATTAATTATAAATTATAATGTACGGTATAATTGCAAAAAAGTGCCTTATTTTTTCCAATTATGATATAAAGTTTATATTAATATCGTAAATATTATTCATTAGCGATTAAAATAATTATTTAACCGAGAAGAAGCAAAACGTATATGAGATGCTTTCAATTATCGTATTGTAATCCTATGTAAAAAATCTGGCAAGGCACTCGCACGACTTTAATTACAAACTTAAAGTTGTATGCGATGCCACCTGATTTTATTTTTAAATTACTAATTATTATAAAATGTCAATAGCCTTATTTTTAGAGGTAAGAATAAATATGTAAAGAATTATCAATGCTAATAACAGTCTGATCCCATTCGAGATATGACAAATGATCCTTTTTTTGTATGAAGCATTTTTTTCTTTGATACCTTTTTGATCAATGTGGATTACATCGGTCATAGCATGTTTTAAATCTGAATATTTCCGGGCCAATTCCTGCATCTTATTGGTATTAAAATCATCGGAGTTGCTATATAAAAGTCCATGTGTATGATCAATATCTAAAAATGAGTTTTACACTATGTAGCCTATATTAAAAAATTTATATTTTTAAAAATTATTATGATATTTTGATGACCTTAAAGTAATCTACATGCATGATACCATCCCGTGCTGTTATGTTGGCTCTCCACTTAACGCGATTTTGAAGCGATTCAATCGCCTTTGTCATCACAGTAAAATCGCCTTCGAGTGCTTTGATAATAGAGTACTGGGATAACGTATATTTTCTGTTGCAGCCAATCAGCATGCAGAATATATAATTCCAAGTGAACATGATGTCATATTTTTATCCCTCATCCTTAACACTACATAGAACATAGTGTGAAAAAGGACGATCACGAGTGGAATCTCTCGCAAATTTTTATGATTGTATAGAAAATATTGTGCTAAAATTACAGAATTAATTATTTTTTATGAATAATATTTCATTCTATGATTTCTATAAAATGTGCTTTATGTGTAAAATAAATAAACAAATAAAATAAAAATATATTTTTTATATTTATAGGCCACTAAAAATTTGAAGGCCCAGGACATATACCTGTACTCTGGTGTTCTAGCCTAAAGCCGCTCTACCCAAGGATTATATATATAAATATATATTTATACATTTCGATCCCCTTAATGTCAAAACATCGATAAATGCAAAAACTACTGGGAAATCAAAATTTAACAGAGTAAAAGTATGGTAAATTTGACCATACTTTCCCTATGTTATGTTTTATAACAACCGGGAAAGTAATTATTAAAACAGTATATAAGAATGCAATTGATCTTACTGAGATTTGCTTTCTTCTCTGTTACTTCTTATTTTTTTCTACGTAGGTACGTGTTTATAAAGCAAAGAATTTTGTAAGGGAAAATTTATTTTAATAGTCGTTGCACTGCAGTAATTAGATCCGAGCGAGATGAAATGGCTCCTTTTAAAAGTTAAAAATTACTATTTGATGCTTATATTTTTCTAATATTAAATAGGACAGTATAAGTAGTTTATTATTTTAAGCCGTAGACTGTAAAGAATCGTTATTGTATGCATCAACTAAAATTAGCTATCATTTTTAGTTAAATGATAAGCTAGTGAACGTTAATCACATCATCTTTCTATTGATTTTGTAGAAAGGTGAATGCCTTTAAATTTTTTCTTGAAAATTTAAAGGAATATTTCTTGTTAAATTTTTATATGTTAGGAAAAAAGTATTGATTATTATTATTTTTTATTTATTTATTTTAGTTTTCGTATTTGGAAATGGTCTGTTGGCAAAATACACGTCTGTTTCTGACTTCAAAGCTAGAATATTTAATGAAATCAAAATGCTTGTCAGATGTGTTATTCATCGTTGGAAAACAACCAAATCGAATGAAATTTCATTCCCACAAATTCATGTTTTCTATTTATAGTGATGTGTTTGAATCCATGTTTGATGATCCTTCCAACAATACAAAGAATGCAAAACAGATGATAATTCGTATAAACGATATAGAAGGGCATATTTTCGAAAAAATGTTTAAGTAATTATTTTAATTAATTATTAAATAATAATTTTCTCATATTTTAACTAAAATATTTTGATTTATTACTATTTATCTTTTCTCAGATTCATATATACAGAAGAAGTTGATCACAATGATTTGTCAGATACGGTTGAACTCTACTTCTTATCTAAAAAGTACAATATTTTGCCATTAATGACTGAATGTAAGGCAATCATAGAAGCAGAAGTTACTTCAGAAAATGTGTGCATTGTTTATCGTTTTGCACTTTCTATTAATGATGAATCTTTAATTGCTAAATGTGAAAACATAATAAAAACTGAAACAATGATGGTTTTAAAATCAGAATCATTCATGAAATCTTCATTAGAAATTGTAGAAAGAATAGCATCATTCGATTTTCTTTTTATTCCTAAAGAAGTGGTTCTTTATGATTCCATTTTATGCTGGGCCACTGAAGAAGCTAGAAGACAGGGAATTACACCAACACCGAATGACTTGAGAAATATAATGTATCCAATTACTACTCATATTAGATTTCTTAGTATGACTCAAGAAGAATTATTTAACAGACCAGTAAGAAGTGGAATATTCAAAAAGGAAGAGATCGTGGGCATTGCAATGCACAAATCTCAACCTGATCTATACCCTTCATTGCCAGAATGGTGCAGTTGGAAAAGAGGAAATAGAATTGAAAATATCGATATTAAAAAATCTGAATCACAGTTAATGAAAATTTGTATTCCATGTAAAAAATCGATTATAAAAAAGAATTTATACGTAGATTGTATTGTTTCGCCTTTATGGACAGATTTTGCGTTGCAGGGCATTACTCTATGCTTTAAGAAGTCCACCGAAATACCAACTCTGCAGATTTTCGAACAAAATAAGGCGTCCCGATTCATTCGGTTTAAAGAAGAAGATGAAACTAAATCAGAGAAGGATGGCAAATACAAAATTAAATTATTATCACCAATTATAATGATTAAAAACCATAATTATTATATTAAAATGAACACTGTAAATCCTGTGACTATGTGTAATCACTCTGTTTCTGTAGATAGAGAACTGATTGATGAAGTATTTTTCAGTATAATGTATAAAATCCATGATAATTGTCATATAAGTGAAATCTTGTGTACTGTAGTGAAAGAAACAATTCTTTGAATCAAAGAAACTTTTAAGCAAGTAAAATTAGATAAAACGATAAAAAACAGATTTGAAGTTTCACAGTTTGTTATGATTGTTGATTGAATTATTGAATGCAATCTCAAAAACTTAAAAGATAACAAAAAACTAGTGTTGTAAAAAAACAAAAATTTAATAATCTTTCCATTAAAAGTCCCACATAAAACTTGATACTATGTCATATTACTAATACAGTATTTATTTTTAAAGAATATTCGATTTACGATTAATCAAACCAATTAAAATGTAAAGACGATAGTAATTTGTTTTAATTGTTGGAAACCCCTAAATATTGATAGCGGGTTTGCGCCTGATGAAAGGGTATGGACCACGTGGAGTTTACCGGGTTTTTTCCCGCATCTAACACCTAGATAAGACCAATTTACCATAGAAAGTCCTTTTATTGATATAATGATATTCTACCAATTATACCAATAGTTTTACAGTCTGATAAGGTTCGTTGCACAGATCCCAATTGTAATGTAACCTTTAAATATGTACTCTCAGGCGTCTTGTAGACTAGTCGAATAACACAGGTCAACAAAAAAAAAATTTTTTTTTGGTGCCTAGGATTTTAGAACTGATTTTAGCTATATTTGGGTCGCTGAATCCAAATATGAAATCAGTTTTTCTCTATCAGCTCTACTTTTTTAGTATCAGGTCTGTAAAACTTGTACAGAACATTTACGACAGTGGACTGATGGGAAAAGAAAAAGTCTGAAATTTGGCGTACCAATGGTTTGGAGAGAACCCAAAAATCACTTTAATGACTATTATTTCTGTCTAGTAAATATTAATGGAATCAATCGTAACAACTGTAGCAAGTGGACTTATCCTCATTTAGTCTCTGCAAGACGCACGGTCCCTCACTCACAGGAAGTACCAGTTCCATCATTTCACCAGCTACCAGAGCTCTGTGAGGACGAGTATCCCTCTGATCCTAATGAAGGTGACTGTGATTACAAGAGAATGTCATCAATTCCTCAATGTTTCAACCAGGATGAGTTAAATGACCTCACCAGAGATCTTAACCTGCCAAAAGAAGCTTCTGAATTATTGGCTTCTGGGTTGAAGGAGAAAAATTTACTGGAGCAAGGAACCAAAATTACCTTTTACCGTACAAGAGAAAAGGATCTGCTACCCTTCTTCTCTCAAGAAGATAATTTTGTGTTTTGTCACGAAATTAGAGGACTCTTGGAAAAAATGGGCCTTCTTGAATATTTTTCAGATGATTGGCGCCTATTTATTGACAGCTCAAAACGAAGTTTGAAATGTGTCCTTCNCAATTCCACCAACCTTATTTTTGATTAAAGCCAATCTGCTGAATTATTGGGCTATAATAAAGCTGAGTTAATAATTAACTTAGCCTTATTATAGCTGATAATTCAGCAGTTCATCTGGTTTTAAACAATATAACAATATATGGTTTTTTTTGTTTAATGTATTTCAGACTATCAATTTTTAAGATCAAAATACTTTTAAGACTTTCTTGGAACTTCTTTACACAATTTATTGATTTTTTTGAGTTTCAAGTATTAAAAGAGTAATAAATAAAGTAGTAATTAGATCACAATATGCCATGATTTATAGATAGAAATTTAATTATTTGGATGTTAATAAATGTGTATACTTCAATGTTAATAGCATTAACATTGAAGTATACAGTGACAAAATGATTATCATCAGCATTGTTTACATATATATCCTAGGAATACAACGAGATGAAGGAATTGTATTCAAATTAATATATGTATTAAAGAAAACAATTTAGTAAATTTATATTGGATATAAATATTCCTTAATTGTATCTTTAACAAAATTTATTTTTACTTTCCCTACTGTTATATATAACAGAGGGAAAGTGGCAGTCGGTCAAAAAATGACCCCTCAGAATTACATTTTTGGGCTCAGAGAACCTTCAAACGTGGAGAAATGCAAAAAAAACTTGGGGGTTTTCTGTATGTATGGATATTATTGGATATGTATGGATATTTGTGTGTCAATGCTTTATTCAACAAATTTTTCAAGACCTACATGTCTCATTCATGTCAATGACGCACAAATTAATATTCTATAAATAATTAATAGAAAGATCAACTTAATTAAGCAACAGTCTGGACAGTAAATTACATGAAGGCCATTTTTTAAGTCTACTCAATAGGAGAATATTGAAAAGTTTATTTTCAGCCATAGTTTTTATAAAATGTTTGACAAAAATCAAGAGATTGCCTCTCATTAATTTCCATTATTTTGATTTACCTTATTATTATTTTTGGTAGTAATTTCAATAATATAGATAATGTATGAATATTATTACTTTAATTTTTATATGAATATAAATTGATTTTTGCTAGAATAAACGTTATAAATTGGGAATTTATTTTTGTATTAAAAGTATACAATTAAGTTATATTGTAAGAATTACAACTTAAATGTAAAACTTCTGAGGAATTCTTGAATTAAACAATTTTTTTTTCTTTTTGTTAAATTTACAATTAACTACAATTGAACTTAATACAGCTTTCAATTTCTTAGCTTAAAAGGCTAAAATCTGTGAAACGGTCCTTTCTTATTTCATATTTTATTTTAAAATGAAATATATTTATATTAAATAATTCTTTATTATATTTCGAGTAGGAATAAAAGTAATCAATAAGTGGCTTTGTTACTTACAAGCTATCATTTACATTTTGTACTTTGAAAAATAATTTGTAACAAAGTAATTAGTAGAATAATGAATGGTAAATTTCGATTGTTTCAAATAATTGTACCAATATACACTGAAAAATGTTTTATTGATTAAAATTTAAATTTAAAAATTTATTTTCTGTATTTACTTTTTTCAAGTGACGTTTCTTTAATTCCCTGAATTTTGAAAAAATCCACCAACATTTCTCAGAATCTTCAAAATTTCTTAGTTCATAATTTGAAGATCCCCGTCTTTCTCCATTATTATTCGAATAATATCAGTGAAGTTTTAAATGCTCAGGCGAATGTGGACGTTTTAAATGGATGTTTTCAGCCTTTCCCACACATATAGATAACAGTCTCGCATGAAATCTATGATGAAAATAATTGACATCGACAGAAATACTACATACCCCACAACATATTTGTATGACTGAGCTATGGATCGAAATGTTTCATTAAGGTAAATATTCTAAGGAAAACTATTGTAAGAAAGGCGTGATATCGGAGCATATCTAATGGAAACAATCCAGATACAATTATCAATTCATCGATCTTTACACACGCTCTTTCCCGCAATCACACTTCAAGCTACATTTTATTATTGCTTGTGGCTTAGATTAATCTACATTTAAGTATTGATTTAGTAACCTGCCAAAAAACAGGAATCACGTGGCAAAAAAGATAACGAATTCTTAATTTAACGCGTAGTATTTGTGTTTATAATCATTATCTCATCATATAAATGTTAAATGTTTTGAATTTTACAAGGTATTTTTGCGTTAAAATGTTAATTTTTGCGAATTAAATATTTAATATGCCCACCAGTGACCGAGTGTGTAAGACCATTAAACGCGGGTTCGTGCCTCATCAACGGCTGGCCACATGTTTTACAGATTTTATTCACGTATTAGCATCCAAGTATGGGCCAATTTCCTATATTTCCGGGTTTTATTCACTTGTCTAACACCTAGATATGGGCCAGTTTCCTATAATAAGTCATCCCACTACTATTATAGTGCACATTACACAGACTACAACTACAGGAAATTTTGAATAAAGCATTGTTGCCACGATGATAAATAGGAAAAATAAACTTCGGCACAGAAAGAGACTTCGAGCTGAACTTTGTCCTTAAAATCATTGCACGTACTGTACAGTACATTAATTTGGCTGAATGTTAGAACACCTTAAGCAAAATCAGTGAAAGAAGTTTGGGGCAATGAGTTTATGAATTAGTAAGGGGAGATGAAATCGGGAGGGACAGGACGTCCAGGTTTCTTGGTAGTTAAGCACGTCCTCGTAAATATCGCGTTTATAGAAAAGTTATTAGAGTTGGTTTGGTTTATTTGGCGATCTGCCGAGGAGGATGCATCCCTGAAAGACTTATGTAAAGCTGGTCCCAATTTAAGTGTTACTAACGCGAAGAAAACTCAGAAAACTTTACGTGGCCAGTCCTTTGGCCATTCGCGAATCCACGAGCGACTAACGGTGTTCGGTGGTTTCATCCACTCGGTTAATGGAGCATACTTATTGGGCTGCAATTTGAAAAAACTGTAGACCTATAAATTCCCATTGTCGTCCGTCCGTCTCTGTCATTCGTTAATCTCGACAACGGAGTTAGATGAAAGTAGAGACCAGACGTGGAAATCGTAAGAGGGAAGAGGTCCAGATTAACTGTTAATTTATAAGAACTTCCGATTTATACCGCAAGTCATATTATTTCAGTTCAAAAGTTTTCTCCTGAACGAAGATAGATACATAACTGGCACGACTCTATTGCTAACAGGAAAAGTATGATGTACAGGGGCAAAACACTACTACACCACACAGGCAAGTGCTATGTGCTTCCTATAGTAGTAATGACGTAATGTCGCATCTATTTCGCGCTATATCATTGTTACAGTAATTCAGTGTGCATAATGTATATATTTTAAAATTAGATCCTTTTCGTAAGAATTATATTTAGTTTATTATTTTGTTAAAATTTTTCCCAATAGATGGCGCTACGTGTAAAGATAGCAATCAAATGTAGACAGAAATTACTTGATATATACTAATCAAAATGTTTGTTTGTTCGTTATGTATGCTTATGCCATTCGACCAATTGCTACGAAACTCGGAAGTTACGTTCAAATACTTCTAACTTAAGTAATGTCCTACATCCCATCCCAAATTATCGACTGGATTTCTATTTATAGATGAAGTTAATTTATTGAATATACTTTATTTATATATAAAAATCATATAAAATTGTTGAAAAAATACAAAATTATCAACAAATTTAAATTTATTACCAACTTTGTGACTAGAATTTCTGATGGTTTTATTTGTAAAAAGAAAGAATAAATTTAACCATGCTCAAAAATTATACAAATATAATATAAATGCGATGATTAATAAATTAATTTTTTAGTCTCGTGACTACTAGAATTTA